AGAGTATGCTATTAAAAGCCTTATTGATTATTCATGTAATTAATTAAGCAATTACATAAATTCGTGTAACTCGCCAAATTGGTGGCATACTAGCTTTCAATCTTTCCTTTTCGTTTTGATGAGAGGAAGAAGAAGAAGGTTTAAGGGGTAACTATTATATTTCATCATAGAAAACTAAGAAGGACCCTCCCAGGGTGCGACTCCACCAAGGACCCTCCCAGGGGCGGTGACTCCACCAAGGACCCTCCCAGGGGCGGTGAGTCCACCAAGGACCCTCCCAGGGGCGGCGATACCGACCCTTCCAGGGGTGATACCAGACCTCCAGGCGTACCAGGACCTCCCGGGGCGCAGGACCCTCAGGGGGCCACCAGGACCTCCCAGGGCGTGGACTCCAGGGCGGTGAGTCCACGGACCCTCCCAGGGCGGGATCCACCAGGACCTCCAGGGCGGGGACCACCAGGACCCTTCAGGGGGTGATACCACCAAGGACCTTCCAGGGGACACAGGACCCTTCCAGGGGCGGAGGGCATACCACAGGACCCTCCCAGGGGTGGCGACTCCACCAAGGACCCTCCCAGGGGCGGTGACTCCACCAAGGACCCTCCCAGGGGCGGTGAGTCCACCAAGGACCCTCCCAGGGGCGGCGATACCACCAAGGACCCTTCCAGGGGCGGTGATACCACCAAGGACCCTTCCAGGGGCGGCGATACCACCAAGGACCCTTCCAGGGGCGGCAATACCACCAAAGATCCTTCCAGGGGCGGCGATACCACCAAGGACCCTTCCAGGGGCGGCAATACCACCAAGGACCCTTCCAGGGGCGGCGATACCACCAAGGACCCTTCCAGGGGCGGCGATACCACCAAGGACCCTTCCAGGGGCGGCGATACCACCAGAGATCGATGCAGTTGTAGTGCTCCTTAAGCACCCTATACCACGAGCCCAATGGCATGCTCGGTCTTCGTGTCATATACATTACATACTTCCAGCAGTCCCTTACTTAACTGTGATTGGTGGACAACTTTTTTAATCCACCAAATTGCAGCCAATAGGAAAAGAGAGCAGACAGTCAGCACAACACCCCAACTTATGTTTTCCTGCTGGATTGTGAGAGGTGTGAACGGTGATTGAGATTTCAGCCACTCCAGTCTCCTGCCTGCAGTAAACTATTGCCAACTGGTAGTGAGGTATCTTGTTTTTTAGTAGTATAATTAATATTTATTCCTCACATTTAATGGTACTACAGCACATACGCAACCTGGTCCCTAAACAGCCTTGGAGAATGAGGAGTATATATCGAAAAGTATTTAGTGGAACCCCCCCCCCCCCCCCCCACATTTATATTAATTATGGGGAAAATTGACCCAATATTTGCAGTTTCCTTAATCGCAATGACTTTTAGGAACGCCTGCCTTGCAATAACCGGGGTAGTCCTGTAGTTCACATCCATGTACGTATTATATACTGAACAACCAAGGGGACATAATGCACCCCTGTCTAGCACCCACATTTATTTTAAATGTTTCACTTTTCCCATACAAAATACTCTTATTGTTGACCTGCTGTTCTTATACAATGCTTTTAATGCATTAATAGCCTTCCTCCCACCCCAAACATTTGTAATACTTCCCACAATGCTTTTATGTTCATCCTATCATACAACTTTTCCACAACTACTATAAATCATTAAAACCATCTTTAAGTAATAAAAACAAAAAATAAAAAATTTAAACAAATAAAAAAGGCAGAGATTGAACAAAAATCTCATTACAGTGATAAGTAAATGTTTTAAAATAGTGCATACACACATTAACCTTTGAAGGCTGCTGATATTCAGTTGCAATCATACACAAATACATATTGGAAACTTAGAAGTCAATACTACTACAGTACTGTATAATAAAATTCAAATTCTTAAACAAATTTATTAATAATCTTGCATATTAACACATACTTCCAGCCCTGACACAAAGCAACCAAGAGCTAAAACTTACACTGGTAGTGGAGGAGGAAACTTTTAAAATTCATGGTTTATCCCTAACCTTAGTTATTTTTACTTAAATTTACCAAAAATTAAGTTAAACAGATTGCCCTCAATTATAATAGCTTTGCAACTGAAATCAAATACAGCACACACAATTTTACTTTTTTACCAATCAAATTTGCACATACAGTAGAATCTCAGTTATTTGGTATCCGGGCAACTGGCAGATTCAACTAACTGGCACCAAAATGAAATAATACCAGTAATAATAATAAAAAAAATTCTCCAAAATCAACTGGAATTGTAAGTTTGAATACCACACACAATGGGGATGAACTGCCATAGTTATTGCTATGATAAACAATTACAATAGCACATATTCAATGTTTAAAAATAGCTCCTTTCACACTCAAACCATCCTCTGGGCAACGCGACACAGTTCAGGCAGTCAACCAGCTAACTCACAGACGTGTAGCAGCCACACTGGCTATGTGTATGCCGTGACATCACATCAGGAGAGAGCATAACCACCCAGTTATAGCCAAGGATAATATACTAGTGAGGATAGTTCACCAAGCACTTGTTTTACCTACAATGCACATCTCTGCGACGTCACTTACAGTATAAACATGCATCATCTGGTGACCTCCATGTGAGCCCACGTCTGTAGAGTGGAATAAGTACTAACGAAGTCCCTTTTTCCGAGATACAAATTTGCGAGGTTTGCCTGTTGCATTGTGCATTACAGGATTTATTGGGGGATCATATGAATGAGTTTCAACTTAACAGAAAAACTATCCAGCACCTCTCAATCTCCATAGGTGGCAGATAACTGGGATTCTACTGTACAAAGGTTACTCTATTACTGTTTGTGAAGGTCCAGTCACACAAACTTCCTAGGTGACAAAGGTCAGGATGAAAGGCTTCATTGAAAATGACGTATAATAAACAAGTAAGAGTACATGTTACAATTTACTTCTGGCTACATTTGTGTATTATTTCAAATTAAATAATTGAATCCCAGAGAAAATTAAAAAATACCTGTACAGTACTACTAATTCCAGATGCATTTTAAATGAATACCTAAGAATTATCCAGAAGGAAGGAGAGAGAGGTGATGCTGGGGTCCACACCAAAGCTTGCCGCAGTCTGCCAATTAAGTAACCCAGGTACAGGTAGTTCTGCTATAACGCGATAGTAGTGTTCTTGTAAAACATCGTGTTATAGAAATTCGTGTAATAGAAATAACAGGGCTTATGGAGAAAATAGGGTTAGGTGCAGATTACTCCAAATCGAAAAAAAAATTCGTAGTTAGCCTAACACAAAGGATAGCACAGTCTAAATAAATGTTACATTCATATCTAATAATGAAATCATACAGTAAATGTTACACTTTACCTTGAAAACATATGAATATAACTTGATGGGGGAGAAGGGTGATGTTGAGGCTGAGGAGTCATGAAACATCAAGCTTTTCTTCAAGTGTTATAGCCTTTCTTTTACGATCACCACCGGAAATGCGATCACCAGAGTGCTTCCCAGAGATATTCTTCTTTTCCATAGTCACAAAATTGGAGAAAAAGTAATCAGAATTCACTGAGGACACTTAAAAACTTCACACGTGTTTCAAACAGTGTGTGGAGTAAACAGAGTGCGCGGGTCTAAAACGCTATGTATTTTGTTTTTCTCTTATTTAAAATTTTACATTTTACATATACTGTACAGGTATACTGTATACATAAATATTACATAAATTATTTCTGCAATTCTTCACAAACAAAACACAAATCAATTGAATATGTGATGTCGAACGTGAACTGTAAACACTGCATAACCCCGCGCCAAGCCACAACACTGTACTGTACAGTACACTTTAAGCGCTACGTATTTAGTTTTTCTTTTATTTAAAATTTTACAATTTACATATATATACCTGTATAAGTAAATTGTAATTTACATATTATTCATATTATGCTAGAGCGCCCACAAAACATAAGAAACGTTTGAGTCCCCCAGTAGAGATGTCCGTTCTCTATCCACTCCAGGATGTCTTAGTCGTCCGTTTTCTTTTTGTGTACTCGCTCAGGGACTCAAGTATTTCTGTATATGACACAAGATGATAAGGGAATTTGAATTTATTTGTTTATTTATTTATATATAATATACTGTAATGTATTATATATACTGCAAGTATTTTCTTTAATTTATATACGTGTTTCGCGAAAAAGGGAGGCTACATTTATGGTGATCGTTAAGGACCAAACTCCGAATCCATGACGTGACTTCTGTTCATTATTTATATCCTAAATTTACCACTGTAGGTAGTTTCAAGAATTAATGCAGTCATTTACTGAATATTCTTTGCAAAAAAATTAATTTTAAATGAATTATTTATAAGAATTAAGTATTATGATCAGTAAATATACAGATATGCATTACTGACCACCTCCGAACACAAAGACGGCTAAAAATAGCCACAGGCGGTCACAGTCAAGGTCACTTTCCCTTTCTTGTCACTGGCAAATGGGGGGGGGGTGATAATAGCAGCTGTGTTTATTACAGTATGTTAGACTGGTTTATACTACATTTTTATTATTTTAATATACTGGTAATCTTCATTTTAATCCAGCTTCCCAAACGTAAGTTTCAGTATAAAATAATTAGTGGTACTGTAGGACCTTATGAGTGGTTTACTGTATACATAAATATTACATAAATTATTACTGCAATTCTTCACAAACAAAACACATAAATCAATTGAATATGTGATGTCGAACGTGAACTGTAAACACTGTGTGTGATGTAAAGAGAGCGCGGGTCTAAAACGCTATGTAATTTGATTTTCTCTTTTATGTAAAATTTTACAATTTACTTATAATATATAGGTATACTGTATACATAAATATTACATACATTATTTCTGCAATTGTTCACAAACAAAACACATAACTCAATTGAACATGTGATGTCGAACGTGAACTGAAGCCACAACAACCGTTCGAGTGGAATCGGAATCGCGTTAGAGCAAACGAGTTCGCGTTTTACAAATATCGTTCCTCAATTCATAAATCACGTTCCAGCAAATTCGCGTTGTCAAAACACGCGTTATAGCAGAACTCACTGTATATACAGGTGCTGTACCAAAGTAAGGTTTACATATATTTGGCTGCACAGCACGCTTTTCATCTCTGCGTTGTGTGCTGCAAAAGAAGCCACCAGAACGCAAGCCATTATTTCTGTTATTCCCATAATACAGTACTTGGCTAAAAGGGTTTTATCCATCAAACATTAATCATTCATATATCAATAAAAAAAAAGCCTGGATAACAGCACATTTTGAAGACTTGTTTAATAACTGTTTTTATGAGGAAGTGAAGGCACTACTGCCATGACTCTCATTCTCAGTTTCAAGGCCTTGTTACACCTCAAGGATGTTGCAAGCCACCTTAAACATCCAAATGAGCTGCATGCTAATATATGATCAATTTCTATCTGTCCTAAACCACTTACTTATTATTCAACTGATGAATCAAGGAATGACAGCAACATTTTAAAATGTATTATTTGAGGTGGACATTATCCCACTTGAAGCTACTGACTGGCCAAGTAGTTCTCTACAAATGCCTATTGTCAGCCTCTCCTCATGCACAAAACAACAATGTACTGGTGAGCAGAGTATACACATTTATATAAAAGTTTCAGTGATTTGTTATTAAATTTGTATTAATATATGCCAAAGAAATTAATACAGTACACAATGACCAAAAGCGGACTTTGACTGTGGCTCGGAACATAACCTCCCTCTATGGAAATCTGTGTACAGTACTGTATATTGATTTTGCAAATGAAGAATCATCTAGAAAACACCACCCTGTTTAAATGAGGATAACCTGCAAATTAATGTTTACTAAACAAGTCTGCATGCCTCAAACTAACTGAAATATGAACCTACAGTGATCCTGTGTAAGATGACCAACAGTAGAAAAACACCACTAACAGGATCACTAAAATATGAATTCTTTTTTAAATCAGATAACCAGAACAAGCAAAACAAATTTAACCTAAAAATCCAAGTGTAGTACAGGGGTCTTTGCTTAATACTGTACTTGCTTTGTTGAAATGTGCATCTTAACGGTATAGTTGAATTACTGTACTATATTGCTAAAGTTAAGAAAGGTTTACTTGGTTCATCCTCTGATAAACAGATAGTGCTGCAGTCCTGTTTGTAATATTTTACTAAACAATGGCCATTTTGTTTATCCTCCTCCTTCAATAATGCAGAATAAGTCAGGATATCTTATTGCACATAAATATTATCTAAAAAACATCACTTACACTACCCTAAATGTGGTACTACCCTCAAAGATCACTAAGGTCAACTGCATCAACCATTTCTTCTAGTCCCTCTTCTTCAGCCTTTTCATCAGCTTTCTCGTCATCGGTCTTATTCTCAGACATCTGCTCTCTCTCAATATTCAAGGTGCGCCAGCTTGATGGTTCAGCTTTCCGTAGCTTGATTTCTACCTTTGATGCTGCTAAGCTTACACTGCTCTGGTCTATGTCAATCAACTGTAAATTAAATGTGTCACTTAAATTTGCTGGACAGTTAATTATAATGGGCAAAATGAAGTGCTGAGAACAAACACGGAAGTACAAAACTCACTCTGGGGATATGAGCAATTATGTGTGAGTATATTTAATTGTTTTCTGAGACTTTTCTTGTCACTTTCTACCCTACATTGCTCCATTTTACTTGAATATTTCCTCCATTGCACTGAGGATTCTGTATCCCTCGCTCAATCTTGCAGAAAAGCGGGATAGAAGTAAAGATAATAAATAGACTGAACTTACTGTCATACATCCACGGGAAGTTATGGGCACTGCAAATTTTACTGAGACACAAAGACATTAACTACTAGAGCACCCTGCAGATTAATCATAATTACACTGCAGGTCTTGAGACAAAAATTACCAGTACAGAACAGTATAAAACACCAGGTCAAGACAGAAGACTGCTGAAATGAAGCAAACGCAGTAATATATATACCCATATTTAAACTTTCTTCACTGAAAAGCAGATTTTGATATTCATCTTTTCTTATAATTATTTCACCACTTAAAATACCATAGAAACTTACAATGTCTTTTTGAGAGCATTATTACTCTACTCATTATGACTAAGCAATGATTTTTTCTTTTAAAATAAAACTGTACACATGGATAACCTATTTTGTTCAAGTTGAAACAAAAAAAGCACAAAAAAAATACAAATCATACACAATACAAACACTTAAGATAAGCAGATTATAATCATTGAAAAACCACAGAAGTTAAATTGGAGGACTGATCCTGAGTTCTTATTTTCTAGCATAACTTGTAGCCAGGCACCACAAACTACACCCTGACCTTGTCCTAATTACCTAACAATCTCAAAAATAATTTCAGAAACCTTGATGAAAGTTTATTAACCTGGTAAAAAAAAATACATTGTACTTCGTTCACTTAACCCAGACATCTGGAGTCTAAAGATGTTGTGAAAAAAGCTACAGATTGGGTGATACAAGAGTGGAGAGCTTGGAACAGTAATACTTTGTATATTATGAATATCAATTGCTATACTGAGTAGCTAGTTTCAATCTGGAATAATTTCTGAAGGCAAAGAGGTGAAAATTAGCTTAAAAAATAAGACGGTCACAAGGGTGTTAACGATCAATGTTATTACTCCATGATTGAGAATGCCACTCAGGTTAATTCTAAGGTTTCCTCCGGAGTCAGACCACTGGCAAAGAAACACTCACGTTCACTCGCCTTGTAAATTACGGTTTGTAAATAAATTGTAATGATTTGTACCCAAATTATTTGTGACTAAATTGTGAATGTACTATTAATCAATAACTATTTAACATATTGCTGAAAATGACAAACCCCAAGGAATTAAGAGACAGCAAGTGGACAAGGGCGGAGAAAGAGAAACGAGCTCTGCGCCTGAGACAGTGTTTCACTAGCGGTAAGCAGTTGACTAATAGTAGGTAACCAAATTGATTCCATCCTCTTCACACTCCCACCCTCCTTACCCCAGTCGTGTCCACCTATCATGAACGTCCTTTTGTTCGTCCCAGATGTCTACGTTAAGTGAACAGAGTATACAGTAGTTTCAAATTGAACATTGTTTATAGTGGACAGATGGTAGAATGGTAGTGAAGGAACCACGACTAAGAGATGAAGCTTTATTCCTGACATTTTGTCCTTTGGAAAAGTCTTGTGACAATACATCAGGAATAAAGATCCATCTGTTAGACGCGTTTCCTTCACTACCGCTCTTAGCAGTTTGAATTTCCATACTGGGCACCATAGCTGGCCATTTGATTCTCCTCCTTATTGCCTTTTTGTATCTATTTATTCCACCAAGGCTACTCATTTACAAGTTCTATTTCTAAAATATAATATATTAAAAGCATCAGCATTTTAAACTTACCCCACGAAGTTCAATATCTAATGTAAATACATTTGCCTCGCCAAAGACAATATTTGCATTGAGTCTGATGGGGTTGGCTTCCACAAAAGTTACTGCTGGGTCAGAGAGCTTTGCATATACCGCTACATACACGTGGGTGGCAGTTTGATGCCAATCGTAACGGCAGGCAGCCACTTTCTTAGTCTCCTGAAAAGTGAAAATTAAAAAAGATTATTACATCTATCATTTATATTCAAGTAAGACTATAAAGAGTCAAAAGTCAGGATAACAATCTGAACACTTCTTGCCTAAAGTAGGACAAGGAAAAAAATATCAGTTTGCCATACAAGGAAACAAGTCACAAATATTCTACTACTGGTAAATACAGTTTATTTCAACATATCTCAAATTTTAAGTACAGTACTAAATTGTTCTCTTTGTAAGTTGTCATGTTTTCTAAAATGAATAAGTTTATAGAATCTAGAACAGCACGCACGCACACACGCACACTCTCTCTTATTCATTCTTTCTAACTACTCCCAGATATATCCTATGTTGTTCTCCTCCTCCAGCAAGGCTTACAATATCTATTTGGTTCACCCATTACTGCATTCCATAAATTACCCCAGCATTATACATCAGACAATTATGTCAGAGTTAATCAGAATAGAGAAGTTCAGAAGAACATGACAAAAACTCTTCATTTTATCAGTGAATAATCACAATATTACATACAGTATTATAGTAAAAACAAACCAAATTAACGTATCTTGCCAAACTTTTCCCATTACTGATTCTAATACAAGGTGACAAGAATAAAAAAACACACTTTCCCCTCTTTTTCTGTCATTCATTCTCTCGAACAGCTTTAAAAATATGTTATGTTAAGTGATCTCCTTTCACACGGGCCCAAGAAATCCATCTACCAGTAGTTTATTCCTATCGTTTCACACAACCCAACTTAAATCAGCAGCAGCCATTTTTTAAACCAGTGTTTTTTGTATCTATCAAATTCTCTTTCAATACCAGTGTCAGATTACAATATTCAGAACCAGGAGCTATGCAAGGGAATCAATTTACTGCCAATACAGTCCCTAACTCACCTCCTTAAACAAACACCTTCTTTCACTCTCTCATTGTTCTATCTTCCACTATATTCCCATCATTCTTTCTCCCATCACATATATTCTAGCTACAACAAAGTACATCTCGTCATTATAAGGCTTTACCAGATTCACCATTGCATACCATTGTCTGGAATGGGAAAAACCAGGTATAACAACACTTTTGCCACAGCACATCATTCTCCCATCCCTTCCCAGTACTGTACAAGCCCAGATATCCAAACTATGGCAGCCACTTAAGAACATGTGAGAAGTTTACCTTACAGCACATCATTTATTTTTCCTACATCTAAAGTACACCCAAAGGAAGTTTAAAGTAATCGTCACGTTCATAAACATTTAACGTTACCACATGAACTGCAAACAATGAACTACGCCCTTGATATAAAATTTCCCTTTGAGGCATATCATTATACGAATAGTCTTCAACAATCTACGCCAAACACAGAGAGAAATGCAAAATGTATCTCCAAAAACATAAAGAATCATGGTGTTCAGTGACTTTTTAATGTAAGCTAATTGTCAGGTCAGATATTGTACTGGATAGTTGAAAAATGAGCTGAATATCCAGTACTCCTGTACATCAATAGTCTCTGGAGAGATTATACATTCCTATAGATGACAAGGCCTAACACAATAGACTCAATTCTCAAATGTCTGAATATCCAAACATTTAAAGAGATTGACATAAACACACTATGTACAAGCCTGAACATGATTACTCAATGCTCAAATGTCTGAAGTACCAATATACTTGTGGGGCTACCATACACTCAGTAAATAAAAACCTGGGACCCATTAACAACAGGTCCCATTAAAACTAGGGCTCACTGCTAATGGTTTGGTAAGAATGGGGCCTGTTAGAACTGGCAACCATGACACTAGTCATCATGTATGGGTACTAAAGGATATGGAACAGAAATACTGTATATCTATGTACAAGGAACGAGGACAAGAAAAGCAGCAACTCAGTGACGAATATGGTATATACTGTACACTATCTGATTAAATAAAGTCAACCCAACTACTATATCAAAACACAAGTGTCTCCTGAGAATGAAAAATATTATTATCTAAAGGTTGGAGCTACAGCCTCTATGAATCAATATGCTTTTATGGTAATTCAAATACAAACTACTTACAAATTTTACTCATCCTGAATCCTACAATCTACCAAAAGGGAAAACCTTTCTTCATTTTTTTCCTCGGAAGACAAAATATAGTTGTGCCTGCGCTTGTAAAAATTTTGTGGATGTACATGGGAAGCACACTGCTTATGTATGAAAAATTATATTTCTTTGTAAATCTGCACACAATTTCTTACACATTTGCAACTCACTTGGCACAGGAACTGACAGGATCCTCGGGATAGAATTCCTGCAAAAACACAATGTTACTGTTAAATCTCGACCGCTTTCATTCACAAAAAATCTAACAAAAATTTGGGCATTCATTATGCAGTCTCTCCAGAGGATCTTTACAGAGAGCACCATAATTCTAACTTTAAAGTTGCAGGAAGCAGCTGGTGTTTACTTTTGATGTCCCATTTCTACACACATGAAATTAACACCAATCAAAATTTATAATCCAGTTTTGTGTTAGCCATCTGTAACAGAGATCACTGTTACATATATGTAAACTCTGCAGCACAGTCCAGTGTGAAGGTAAAACAGAATATTTTATACTGTGTAATGAAAAATGGACATGAAAAAGTAAAAAAATGGCAGTGCAAGTGTTTTACAATGATGCACAATTTTCAATAGACAGCAAAGTATCTGAGAATGGCACAACCAATCATATTCTAGGAATTGGTGATCACTGCTATTCCAAGATGAGTATTTTGAGTTCAACAAGAGCATGTTCCGTGGCAATAAATAATACCGGATTGCAAACTTTTTCCACTCACTCCTTGGCGACTCTTGATATTGTCTGCGAGCACAAAGGATATAAAACCTACCTAGGTTGTGTACAATGTCTGATTAAGTACAACGACTATCAGTTAATTGTTTCCTACCCTTTCTTAAGGATTTAGTATATGATTCTAATACAGAATGTCCAGTCTACGATAACTGTGAGATTTTAAAGCTTCCAGAGATTGTTAAAGACCCATACTCGCTTCTTTTTATATACTGTACAAGTTTTACAAAGCAGCGAGTTTCAGGGGACCGAATCCAGGCAGCATGTAAGATTAGATTGACAGTGGTTCCCTTTAAGTCAACTTGAATAATGTCAATGCCTGATGTGATAAGCTTTGGTAATGAATCTATTTGAATATAAAACTTCCATGGTCTATATCAGTCAAATAACCAAATATTCATTTGGTTCTTAAGAATATTTCTCCCTTCTTTATCATCTACTTACATAGGAGAAATGCTGGAAGCTTGTTTCTCAGTTGTTGTTTTTTGTCTAATTCATGCAAACTTTGTATTCATTTTGCGCCTCCCTAAAACCAATTGATAATATTTGTGTCTACGTCTCTTCTCAAGATTCACTGTATGCTGCTTCAGGCAATTAAGAATATGAATATGTATGTGGGTATTTCTACTTGTCACTTTCTTGCATTACTCCCCTTACTATTTTCTCCATTTATTTGGGTTGTCTGTTCCTTTTGTCCACCCCATAAAAATATGAAAAAAAATAATAATATACAGAATGTTAACCTCAAGTCTGTAAAGGTAGTGCTATTCACTATGATTTTAAACTTTTTTTTTCCACGAGTATGATTTTATTACACATTTTGTACACTTCAGTATGTTTTCTTTCCTTGATACACCCAACACAAAAATGGGAATGACAGGAGACAATATAGTTCTGAATTATAATGGATATCTACAGTACAGTATATATATTCTCTGTGAAGATCATATCAAGTGTCCTCTTTTCTTGCCAATATATATTAGCTGCTTGTGGGTAAATTCATCACACAGGCTTAATAGATGGAACCCAACCATAGCATTGGTCAAGAGCTGAACAGTGAGAAGGGTTGATGGGGATGAAAAGTAAGTAAGAATCTTCTCTCAGTTAGTCAGTAAGGAATGATGCTAAAAAAGCCGACTATTGTAGATACAAAATTGTGAGGAGTGCACGAGTAGACATTAATTGAAGTTTGGAAGATGTGGTGCATGGGTAAGATGTTAGTTAATATTTAGATTTGGTGCATTAATAGGATATACATTAATTTAGATCTGAATGATGAAGTGAGTGGGCTGCTGCATAGGGGTATTAGACATATCTTTTTTCTTTCTTTTTTAGTTAAACTGACAAGATATTTTGGGTGGAAAATGTGGCCACAGCAGTTCTGATGGTGAAGTTCAGGTGATCGTGGGGGCAAACTGTGATTTTCATATGGAGAAATTATATTAAACAAAGCAAATTAAAAAAAAAAAGTGAAATACTACAAAATAGTCTTAGAGTTCCCAGTCCCCAATACTATACCCACAAACACAAGCCATTAGGCCCCACCCATTCACTACCATAATGATCATTTTTTCTTGAAAGTCTTTTCCCACTATGATAAAGGGTGGCTAAAATCATGAATAACAGACACTCCCTCCACTCAACATCATTCATTCTCTCTTAACAGTCAGAGTAACTGTGTTCCATCTACCAAGGTATTCCTCTTCCACGAAAAAGCCTTAATGCATTCATATGGTTTTACCCCTGTCTATTCCCACACATAACTAAAGCACAATAAACCTAACAATATATAAAATATATTGATAGGGTGACATGTGGCTTACCAACTTCACCCAGCAGTGATGACCTGTGGAGCAGCCTAATTGCTCCAAAAACTCAGTGAAGTCGGTGGTCTTCTTTCGGCAGCAACTCCAGTATTTGAGACCTTCGTGAAATATAGGAATTCCAGGATGGTACTTACACATGTCCAGGTTACTGTGTTCACCCTCATAGCTCTGTAAATAAGCAAACAGTATGTATAAGGAATTATCCTCTATTTGAAGTAAGACATTTGTAGAGTTCTTAATAATTGTTTTGGTGCACGGCCTGAAGAGGATTGAGAAGGTAGCATGTCAAGGAATCCTTGATAACCCCTCGGCCACTAAGGGTTAAGGAATACACTGTAATATAAATTTGTGGGGCCCTTACCTATACCACCTTAGAAAAGCACACCTTGAAATCAAGAAGCAAGAAAATAAATAGTTTTCTAGGCTCCCAAAAAATTCAACACGTGCCAGTGACCAGTAATAAAACTTGTACAGTACTTTAAGTAATACAAATTGGGCAACCTTCGACTGATTTTCTCTTTGATAACACATCTTAAGATTATGGGGATTCAGAAAACACAAGGTGTTTCCTCCCACCAAAAGCACACAAAAGGTAAAGCAAGCATCTGCACAATTACCATGAAAAGTCTGTAAGGCAGTATACATACATACATTTTGTTCAGACACCCTATATATTGTCTTTATTTAGGAGATATAAAGGAGACAAAAGCAGTTAACAGATACAGTTAACAAATTTTCAGATGGTATGGGTCAAGACAATAACCTCCCCCTGGTCGAGAGGATGAAACAAGTCTAAACATACAACTGTCCTCCAAGAAAACTAAAAAAAAAATCTACAATATAGTTATGTGTTGTGGGAGACGAAATCAACCAATTAATGACAAGACTTACAATTTTACAGCCGTTGTTTTGACAGTTTTCTCCAATCTTCACTCCACATATGTTCTTCTCGTCTCCATCAGTCTTATTCTCTGTGTCTTTCTGACCTTCTGTCTTTTCTAAAGCCTGCAAGGGATAAGATGCAACATTAGTACAATATGAAGGTTGGCCAAAACTTAAAAAGTACAGAATAACATGTAAGACTTGTTTAATCATTTTCAGACTCTCCATTTGCTCCTTTCTAGATCACAGACCCATTTTAATTAATTATCTGTGTTTCATCTTGACACCTGACCTAATTACTTATGTTTCAGCACTTAGGGTAATACTATGGATTTTTTCAGAATTTATACAAAGGTACAACTTTACATTCTGATTAAGGATTCTTCCTTTTCTTGCAGGACAATTTTACAGCATTGGGATGTCCCCCTTCCCACAAAAAAATTACTACAGCCTTCTGCCTCTTCCAACAAGTACCATACATACCACAGAAACGAATTACATAAATTTCCATTACAGTACAAAATGATCAGACAAAATCTAAGCTTTTATCCAATCTATTATCTCTTTTCCTCTCCTACTTTTAAGTGGTGTGGATGAAGGGGAACTCAGGCCCCCAAATAAAAGAGGAATTGATAGAAAAGTGGTGCAAGAAACGAGCAGGATGTGATAGGTCAAATAAATAAAGTCCTACACACATTGTTCTTATCATCAAAGTTGAACACAAAGAATATGAAATGAACCTTCAGCCCCTCAACTGATTCATAAGTCAAATACACTACAGTAAGTTGAGGTGACAAATCCATTCACTTTAATCTCTTTGCACATTCTCTTACCTGTTTCAGTGACTGGGAGACAGTTAATGGAAGTCTTTTCAAAGGGGAATCAAATTCTGGTCTAGGGAGAGCAGGGGCTTGTTTAGATGACTCAACAGTTATGACCTCATCTCTCGTTGATTGATCAATCTTGGGCTTCTGTGGTTCGACTGGTTTGTCCGGGTTATGTCTTCCTTTTGTGCAGCCCTGAGAAAAATAATGAACATCTTCAAAGATAAATTCCTTAAAATTTTGAACAAATATTAACCAAAACAGACAACACTAATCTCAATCATCACCATCAATGTTTTACGGCCATTTTCCACACTAGAGTGAGTTAAGACAAAAAGAAAGAGTTAAGCTCCTTCGCTGTATTAAAATTTTTAATTTTGATAGGATCTTTATAAATATCATTGGTCTAATGCAAAAAATATAAATCCAGAATGGCTGTAAAAAAAAATTTAGCATGAAAAGACAGATGGGTGGGTAGGGCAAATATTTCCCATATGAATTACCAAGATCCCCTAAACCAATCAAGCCCAAATGAGGTCCTACAGCAAAACCCATTTACAGCCGATTATAACATTAATAAATACTGTAATTATACCACAGCTCCAAGTACAGATGTTAACAAAACTGCTGCACTTTGTATGGAGAATTTTACCTTTTCAAAACTTTACACTCTTTCTTTCCTTGCTCCCCAACCAGACTTATATTCTATACAATAACATACCCAATAAAAAATTAATAAAATTAAAGCTATACTGAACACTTACAATCTCTAACAGTGGAACATTTAGGAATTTCATTAAAATTCTCTCAACACTGAAAATGTTTTAATTATCATAGTTAAAATATGCAGCAATAATTCTCACCTTTGTATTAAGAAATGTAGTAAAATCTGTACTTTTCTTGTTGCAGCACGACCACCCCTTGTACGCATCATGGAATATCGGGGCGCCTGGGTGGTACTCACATGCATCTGTAAGCATGACATTTGAGAATTCCTTTTCATATGCTAATCTGGTTTCAGTTCAGAAAAGAAGAAAAATAAATAAGTAAATTAAAAATAAGTAACACTTCCCGTCTCAGTAACAGTAAATTCGCCCATAGCAGCTGTTAGGTTATGCTAGGTTAGGTTAAGATTGGGCTAGGTTATGTTAGGTTAACTTGAACTTTTAAATAAACATGTTAACAGTTGCCATAACTACGACAGTGTCGACTATAAAACACAGTGAAATTGCAGCAATTTTAAATTCGTTTTCTATGAAAGATCAGCGGCAGTGAAGGTGTAAATATATTTACCTACACAAGATTCGTTTTGTGGCAACAAGTAAAATATTACCCAAAATTCGTCAGAAACTTTAAAGGCAGTGGATATTTAGCTGTGACCAGCAAAGTTCCTACTAATGCCATTTTACCGTGAGTGCGCTGATTGGCAAATCATCCATTACCAGTGAACAATGTGAGAATGATATGTGACCGTGACTCTGGCGGCATTTAGCATTTATTTTGCCACGAGTCTATCATTGTGTAGCTGTAAACATATTTCTGTTGTGCATGGAAACTTATTATAAGAGAGGAGACATGTACTAGAACCTATATAACCAACTAAAGAAACCTACCTAACCTTACCTAACTTCCTAGGGGTTGGGGTCATCTCGTACCCAAGACATCTCATACCCAAGACAACTCAAACCCAAGATAAATTATACTCAAAAAAGTTGACTCGTACCAACGCCAACTCATACCTAAGATAACTCGTACCCAACTCACGAGACAACTCTTATCCAAGATTACTTGCACCCAATTCAAGAGATAATCCATACCTATTAGTATATATACCATGCATAGGTAGCTGCTGTCACAGCGTTATTATAGCTTAATACGAACTATTCAGGGCTGGATTAAGGGACGGTGCCCCCAAATGCAATAAAAATAGAATTGAATTTAACCCAGTTTGGTAGGAGTTATATAAAATTTTAGCTTCATCTATGATTACAAAAAAAGATTATGTAAATCTTGTAGGAAAGTGCAGTCAAATAGTGAAATGTAATGCAGCACTTTAAAATGGTTGCATCTCATTACATAAGTATCTTGTTCCGTCACACAAACATTGCACTACAAGTACATATTTCACATTATGTGGTTTAGAATAACTTTAATGCAATTCACAGATTTCAGGCTAACAGATTTGGCAGTTTCAATTTATAAGCTGGGAGATGTAAACGTTTAAAATAGTCATAAATCAACAAAAACATAGACATGGAGGACTCTAAACATGCATAAAAACAATTAATTTCCAGCTTTTTGTAAACAAATCAGTTAGTATTAAAACTAGTCCGGTGACTGAGATGCTCGTGTGAGTTATACAAATCTGAGATTGATGGATTTTCAATGTTGGCCTTAAATCATAGTTGATTTTTTATTAGTAGTAATTGTCAATTAAAAATTAGATTTTAATTTATTACAACTCATATTCGACAAATGATAGCAAGAGCTTTACAGAAATTGGTGAATATTCACAAGACATTTAGATTGTTTGGGGATCTGACAATTTCTGTTATGTGCTTTCATAGTTTTGTATTACCCCTCTGTTGTATTGTTCCCTTATGTGGTTTTCTCCTGCACATTCACATCTAAAACTGTTAGTGTTTTTAGAATAGTAAGGTTTCTTGTGGTAGTGAAATGCTGTGTGATCTCTTTCATTGTCATGCTGTCAGAAATTTGTCCATGCTGGGTACGAACTGTCTAATAAATTGGGTACGAGTTATCTTGTAATTGGGTACAACTTGACATGTTTTGATGGGTACAATTTGCTTGAGTATGAGTTGTCCAGCACCGACTCCCTAGCTGGGGGGCAGACCTCCTCCTCTCAGAATAAACAAAGTATTTAGGCAATCAAAGTGCACCTACAGTAAAATAGCGTTAGTAAGAACTTAGCCAGTCACAATAAAATATCCACAGTTAATAATGACAACTGACCCGCCAACGCGTCATTTATTTTTATGTTTATTTTCTAACTATATTTTCATCAGTGAGTTCTGATATGATAATTTCTTGTGTAAATGCTTTGTTTGGTAGATAATTAGATGCCTAGGCGGGCACTACCGGATAGTTTGTCTTCTTGGCCTGTAATAACTCATCCCAGGATGTAAACAGCCAATCATATTGACGTATTACAAAACACTCTGCCGCCGGGAACCGGATAGACTCAGATGCTCAATGTATGCCTATGAGCCATTCAGTACAGGCGGCTGCTCTCACGTTCACAAAAATTTTTGAATTACATCATATCATAGTAAGTTCTTTCTGTTTAATATACCAGGGGCTGCGCGGCTAGGAAGTTAGGTAAGTTTACGTAGGTTTGTTTGGTTAGGTTGGTGAGGTCTTCTAACAATGCTTTTGTAGCTTGTTTGGTAAATTTGCACTGTCACACCGCACTGTTAGAAAGTAAAAAATATATTTTTCTAGTGTATTTGTGTGTGCTTAGACCGAATATGACCTTCATTTCTGACGGAAATTAGCCGGGTTTTTTTTTTATAAATTTTTTTTGTTGGACGTTTTAAAAAAAAATCATGGCAAAATACACCAAAAAACACTAGAAAGACAAAAACCAAACCTAACCTAACTGACTCTCACCATATGATGGAATCACCTATTTCTTACCTTATTGGCCTGGTTCTTGTTCGTCGTTGGATTCTGAGATTCTTACACAACGCCACATATGTTGGTCTTTGCGATATTTACATTCAGTCTTGCTCTTAGTACACTTTACTGAGGTTGGAAGAACACCATGCGATCGAAAAAATGCTATAGTTTCTTCATTTTTCCCAAAAACTCGCAATCAGCTCCACATAATTTAAGTGACACGCACCGCAGACTTCCATGGTCGGAACTGACCTTGAATTTTGAAATATGAGACCCAAAATAAAACTCGAATTTGATTGGGCCAAATATACCACAATTAAACCTAAAATCATTTTAATTGGTTGCAAAAACAAAACCGCTTTTGATTGGCCACGTGATGTGTACGGGAATGCATGCGCGTGATGATTTATGAAGGAGACGCAGGAGACACGCAGTGTTGGAGGTGAGGCAGGTGATAATGGCGGAAGATTAATGGAAGAAAATAGAGAAAATTTTGGATATGCTATCTCCGTTATTATACATTTCCGCCGGTAATATAATAGATAAAAATTATCTTATAATTAGACGTCTTATTAGAATATGATAATAGATTAGTGGTAGGAATATGCGGTGCGTAAACGCAAAAATACCGCTTGTTTTTCTTATCAACTAAGGTAAGATTAGGTTTAATTTAGAAATAACGACTTGTTACACAAACTACGAGTGTCCACTATAAAACAGTGACGGCAGCGTTTTTATAATCGTTTTCTATTAAAAATTGGCCGCAGGTCAGTAGTGAATAATTACCATATCCACTAAGAAACATTAACCATGAGTGTTGATCAAGGCAGCATCATGAACATTTAACGACGTAAGGCTACAACGAAAATTTGGTGTCTCAATATATATCTGTCCATGTATTTCATCTTCATAACAACAATATACATCATTTCTTCCTACAGACAATTAAAATTCGACGAAAGTGATGAGATATATCGGTGGGGTCAGCTCTTTACTCACCGTCTGTGTTTTCTTCGAGCTTAAACTTTTGGCCACAGCCTTTATTATAACACTGAACTGTGGCCATGGTCGATATAACTCAGGATAGGTGTAAATTGGTATAAATATCGAGGAAATGACACCTTGATTAGAGGTGACTTGGGTGTGTTGTGGTCGGGGATGACAACATTGGCCACGCTTGTCTTGACTCGTTTTCCTTAAGTCTTCTCGAAATTTCTTGTCTTTTCTCATTTTAAAACATAATATAACTCGAAAAATATTACAAATAAAAGTTAGGTTTTATTTTACAGAATAATTTACTTGTGAATCAACAATAGTCGAAGATAGAGCCATTAAATGAACAAAATAAATGCCGACTATTGAGCGCAGCATAACACGAGAATATTCTTAATTAATATTCATGGAACTGCATGGTTTATCATTATTTCAATAATATAAAAATAGGTAAATATCATAACCTTTCATTAATTCAACAACATTTGAACGTGATTTTATTATAACTAACATAAAGAATAGCACGTGGACGCCCCAGTCTCGGCAAGTTTCTGATATCTTTGAACACACATGGCATGGTGGCATATTAAACTGGCGCCTATACACAAACAGGAAGCTAGTGATCAACAACAGCATCGGGTTGGCAGAATCGCTAGCCAATGACAATGCAACCATAGTTTTATCATTTAAATCAAACATGGTGAATATAGAATTTGTTTTTAACATTTCGTGCTTGCCAGGGAAGCGACCCAGGGGTAACCCGAGCAAAAATACACGTGATCTCAGTGGTAGACTACTGTAGGAAAGCCGTGGTAAAAGATCATCCGGCTAGTGTAACCACAAGTTACTGTACAGTACTATGCATGTATACGCACGCAACGTCATACTCTGTGATTTATGAGAAACAAATAACCTTCATAAAAACGTCCCCCTTTTCTCACGGGGATGGGGAAGCACTGTATACTCACTCTCCTTACCTGACCAATCTGTACTAGTACCACTGTTGAAGAGATCCCATTTCCGCGTAACGCGACAGACTGCCCAGCGGCTAACGAGCTGACCAGTGGCGAAGAGGATAAGTAAAAGTAGGATGCTCTTCTCCGGAAAGTCAGTAACTTAAACAATGGATGACAGCTTGCGAAGCATATTATCAGACCTAACAATTAACAGTGTAAGCTTGTCATAGTACGGTTAAACTACCGTGCCAAGCACATAAGTAACCTGTGATGATCATCTGGTAGACGTGAGAAGTGTAACAAGACAGTCTACAACCCATCTTGTGTAACTGGGTGAAAGACTTACCAATGTAATATCTTGTGTTGAATGTCGATCGGTTGAGTGGTACTTTAGTACAAGTCTTTGGGCATTTTGTATTCACCACAATACCCAAATACAGTACTTGTGTTAGATTCGTCTAAAATTGGGTATATGAAAGCATGGGTGCTTCTATAGCGTGCAGTCTACAAGATATTTAAGTTAAGTTAGGCTAGGTCAGGTCAGGTTAGGTCAGGTTAAGTTAAGTTACATTAGATTAGGTTGAACTAAAGATATCTTTGCAGACCGCACCCTAACAGTAGCACCAAAACATGTGTGAAAATATGCTTTAGCGGACAACACAAAGATGGCAGTTTGCGTTCTCTTATCCCCGTTACGAAGGAGAAATAGAGGCTACCAATCAATCCAACTATTATTTTTGTTAAAGCTAGGAATTCATAGGCTTTGTCAAATAGCCCACACACGAGCCACCCACACGAAGTCAATTTCGTCTTAATGCGCATGTGAAGAGACCGTAAACGCGACAGAATATCAACCAGACCAAGTTAAGACCTCTGTAGATTAGGTTAAATAGGTCTGGTTTGTTCGTTTTACATGTCAAGAATGATTACTTCCTTCTAACGAAAAATTAAGTGCCAGCGCAGTAGCGCACCCAGAAATTCTGTAAGTGGGGAGGCTTGGAGGTCATGGACGTAGCCAAAAATTCGTCGAGGGAGCGAAATTGCGTGGCCGAAGGCCCAGCTAGCGGGATTTTTTAAGCAAATTAGATGTGGGAGGCCCCTTAGAGTCGGGGGACCTGAGGCCAGTGCCTCAAGTGTCTCATGGTTAATCCGGCACTGGAAGCCACATACATAATTTTTATTTGCACGTGCAGTGTATTTGAACGATCCTCTGACTTAACGCACTTCACACACATAATTTAAGTATAAAACAAATGAATATAATCAAAATCATTAACTATAAATTAAATTTCAATCCAGCATAATCAGTCTTGACTGTTAGCTTAAGTTCCAGGGGTAAGAGACAACAATAAGGACAATGTGGGAGACACGAAAAAACATGTAACAGCGGCACCACTGTGGTAAGGAAATCCGCGTGACGTCATCTCAGAGGCCTGCCTTGGCAACTTAAGAGCGCGCGGGAGCCTTAAATTGGCAATTACTAGCAAATTGAGGTTTATTTTCTTTATTTTCAGACCAAATGGGACCTATTAGGCAGAAAAAAATCACTTCTGCCTGACCAGGGGGTGATATGTAGGATTCCAGCATCTGACCACGGACGGTTAGGGAACTGCGGGCCCATGGGGCCCGGGCCCCACGGGCCCACAGTTCCTTGAGTGCGCTAGTGGGCAGCCAGACCCAGAGGGGTTAAAATAGAAAATATTATATGGAATATAAAAAAAATGAAAATTAGAAAACATCCTCTCGCTCAGTTTTCTCTCCCATGTCCAACCAGGCACAGGTAAACACAACTATATGTTCCTCTCCCACCTCTCAGTACAATAGCCAGTAGGCCTACTTATCTTTCTCCCCTCCCTTCTATGTTTGCCTTTTCTCGTCTTCATCTTCTGACACGTTATCTTCTTCGTCTATTTTCATCGCCCTCTACAATTTCTCCATTCTTGTTCTTCATTTGTTTTATGGCTATTTTTTCAGCTTTTATCTCTCAAACCCCATTCTCTTCTACACTTCATTGCTTCTCATTTTCCCTTTCCCCATTCTCATTTCTTCTTCTCTTGTTACCTACAGAGGAGTAATGACCCCCCTCACACACACAATAAACGTATATAACACATCTCCCCCAGACACACACACACATCCCCGAGTTACACACACTTGCGAATCCAGGAAAAAAAGTCACAGAAAAAAGTCACAGAAAAAAGTCACAGAAAAAACCTAACCTAAGCCAACCTAATCCAACCTAACCTAATCTAACGTAACTTAACCTAACTTAACTTAACCTAACCTAACCTAACTTAACCTAACCTAACCTACGTGCAATGCCATCGTATACATAATGTGTTGTCAATGTGTACAAGTCATGTGACTTTTCCTCCTGTGACTTTATTTCTGTTCACCACACTTGCACCCCCCACGCGCACACACAAACACACAGTTACACAACAGTCATCCTGTATTCCTGTGGCAACTCAACAATGGCTCCACACACACATCAGTCTAAGCCTCAGTTGTGTGCTTACAGTACTGCTGGCCAGTCGTGACCTGCTGTGGACCGTAATCCTTAAAGGTTAGTAGGATAACTTTTTGTCCCCCATAATTGGTGGCGTGGTAACACATTTAATCTAACCTCTTAAGATATACACAAAGAGATTCTCAAATGTCTGTACATTAATTAACGCTAAAATGAATACGTTAAAATGTGGATTCTCACACGTTCGCACATTATCAACTAGATATGTACGGAGACTGTTGTAACTGGTTCATTTTTGTATTCCTATTACCAAGCACTGGCTGTCATCAGTAGTAACGTGGCCATCAGACTGTGGTTAGTAAGTTATAATAAGTCGGGTTAGGTTAGGTTAAATCAGATTCGGTCAACTCAGGCTAAGTTAAGACATATTACGCTAAATTAAGTTACGTTAAGTTAGATTTGATAATTATAATCATCGTCAAGTGAAGAAATTATGAAGCAATTAAGTATCATGGGCTCCTTATTTCCTTGTTATTTTCTAAATTCTCAAATGCTTTATTCTTAACAGACACCTATACTAGTTCAGGAAGTGTCTCAAAGCAACTACTGTGTCATATTTAGTCTGTCTTTGAAACCATAGTGAGATGCATTCTCAGATCACTTCCGGAAAAAATTAACACACGTACCTTTGGGAATCCTTTGCCAGTGTGATGGAGTGTTTTCAGTGGTTTCGGCTCCTCTCAGTTTAATTTGATGTGATGCATGTGTGGTGATAGTCTCCACTTAATGTGATGCATGTGAAGGCATTGTTTGACAACTCTGGTAATCGTTTACATCTTGCTTCCTGCCACCACGTCGTATATATTTCAGCCAGTCGTTGTTCAGGGGCGAATCCAGGAACATCAAAAGGAGGGTCAAAGAAGTTGTAGGTGGGGGAACATGGCTTACACAGCTAGTCCACCCGGCGGGTTTTTTTTTTTTTTGAAAGAAAGAAAATGAAATATGACCAATATCACGGGCATTAAATGCCCCCCACACACACACACACGACTAGTAAGCTGATAAGTGGCAAAAAGAAACACTCACTACATCATTCATTTTACACTACCGAGATCCAGATTCTCATATATTTTACTTTTTTACTTTTATCCTCTTCGCCACAAATCGGCTCGGTTAGCCTCTTGGGCAGTCGGTCACGTCTGTCCTCACTGTTAGCAAGTAATGGACTATGTACTGGCTCCTGAATATGAATCCATGACAAAACCCCAACGGACAAAACCCCAACCCATGATATGAAAAGTGGACAAACCCCCAGTCACGTATAAAATAGTTCATTATAATATTTAATTGTTCATTATTTCATAGATTTGTCAACACAGAAAAAAAGGCACGGAAAAAATTAATCTAACCCAACCCAACCTAACCTAGCCTAACTTAACCTAACCTACGTGCAATGCTATCATATATACAGGTATAATGTGTTGTCAATGTGTACAATTCGTGTGATTTGTTTTTCCTGTGACTTTATTTCCGTTCACCATTTTCATAAGTGGAGCATAAATTGTACATTGAAAGTGTCAATTCCCTACAAATGTTAAAGGGTTTTGTGGATAGTGGAGTGTGAAAATTAAATGTAGATATATAATGTGTGTTTGCAAACAAACATAAAAGTGTTATATTTTATATTTTATATATGACTGGGGTTTTGTCCACTTTTCATATAATGGGTTGGGGTTTTGTCTGTATAACCCCTGAATATATCTGTACTGCATCTGCGCCAGTGTTGGTCAAATCTGGTCTTGAATGAGTTCACAATCGGTGCCGTCACAACACTCTGGCAGTTTGTCCCAAGAGTTTACAATTCTCGCTCCGAAAAAGTTTGCTTCAAGTTAAAATTTCCCCGAAAATAGCTAGCCTGCGTGCACACAGAATAACGTAAGTCAATGTCCTTTCTCAGCCTCAGTTAAAGGACTAGAGGGAATATTGTGTAATCATTGTGCTTCCTCACAGGATGATCACTGTGTTGCCTATGGCCACACATCCCTCGGATAGAATTCTTAAACTATTATATATATATATATATATATATATATATATATATATATATATATATATATATATATATATAACCTCAAGCATATATTCTGGGTGCGACTTCAATTTCTGTTCAGTCACCTGATAAATACTTAACACTCGTTTAATGGAACCATCACTTGAAAGGAGTAGGTGGAAAGATTCAGTGTATATGAGGTTAAGATTAGGATATAAATATTATTGGGAACTTGGAGCTGAGAGAAGTGAACAGGATAAAGAATGTAGAGTTTGTAGAACATCCAGATCCCATACCCTGCCACATTATATACTGGAATGCCCATTGCTTAATGTATATAGAAATGCCCATATAAATAATGTCTCCAAGCAAATAGAGTGGATGTTTGGAAATGGGAAAATAGATGAAATATTAAAGAAATATAGAAATTTTGCATCTAGAATATAACTATGTATTATAACTAATTATATGAAATATTAGGGATTTATGTGAGTCCTGAGAGGGACATTCCTGGACTGGGGTGAGGATGACTTATGTCACTTCATCCCTTTGAGATGTATTAATGTTTTTTTGTATCTCAATAAACGTATCAATCAATCAATCACTTGAAAAACGCGGTACTTTAATGCACCATGTGAACCTTTACCTGTAAATACCTACTACGAATATTCAATCATCTACGAGTATAACTACGGAAGTTTGGTATCCCCCTAGCAAAATACCGCACTGTATTCGCTCCTATTGCGATAAACTGGGACATTGACTAATAGCAATTACTTTTACTCTCTTCTAATGGCTATCACTGACCTTTCAAGATCGGAATATTAATTATGATCTATTTTAGAGCGTGCGGTTAGCACATAAAAGTGTATTCAGCCGTAATTAGGAACTGAATATTTCACCTTTTTTTCTGAATGCTGTATCTTTTAAATTCCTTTGATGTATGAGGAGCTACTTAAAGAGTTATAAGACAACGTGGGTAGTGGAGTAAACAATGAGCCATACACTGATAGCGTCTGGGTGTCTACTCCACGAGACGATGCAGCTTATATCGACCCCATCTTCACTCGAAATCAATACAGAACACGTGCTACTCCTTTTTAAATGAAATCTCTCATACAGTATTGGTTACTAATTTACTGGGATTATTCTGAAGTCGCAAAAATTACCAGATAACTAAATATGGCAGGTAACACAGACCAACTCGGTGGTAAAATGTAAACACTGAGAGTAAGGTTGGTTGTCGACTAACTGGCAGCCCCACCCGGTGTGTCGTTTCTAGGTAGCTCCTTCCCAACACGTACATTGACGCAAAGTCTACTACACCCTCTCTTGGCTTCCACCATTTCTGTAACTTAACCCATAGTTAATGACCAATGTCACGAATATTCAATGATTTCGTGATATAAGGAAGCGGCAAAACAAGGGGAAAAGTGAAAAGTAAATTCCGGTAGGTTGTCTCCTCGCCGTTTGGCCTCAGCTGTTTCGTGTAAACAAACCGACGAACTCTTCAGGTGAGACACCACTAACACATTATTATCAGAAAGTGAACTCATACATGACACTGTTTTTAATTCCCGTATTGTATATACCTTTGATGGGTGAGTAATAAATCTCCGTTTATCGTAGTGCAACTGATTAACTCACAGGGTCGGCAGATTTACCCAAGGGTTAGCAGCAAATCAAGTGGTATCAAGATTATACAGTACAGTATATGTTTTACCAAAGAAATTTTGAAATTGTAAGGTTTCGTGACACGATTTCCGATTGAACAATAATATTTCGGGCGGTGATTAAAGAAAGTAAATAACATCAATTGAGTCATATTTATCTCATCAAACAGTGTTCATTTGCTACAATGATGTGGAAACAGCCATGTGCGATTTCGTAACCAAGTGTAAATTGATTCGGATGACTATATATGACTGACTCAGAAAGTATTACTGTAATTAAGTGTGATATCCAAAGTGTGTATATTGATAAGGAAAATATATATATTCACTGTTGTCAGATTATAAGCCATGATAACGTAATAGTTCTTTATTTTATTATTACGTGTATTTGTCTATACAGTATGATGTAGTAGAAATTTACAAAGCTGTACGTAGATTTGCGCAATAACTGAATCGTGTAAGTGTTAAACCAACAAACCTTAAGTGTACTGACGGGGGGACTGGCGGAAGGGAGACAGTTGAGAAAAGAGAGAAGGGAGAGGGTTGAGATAGTACTTAAGATTATGAGCACGACTTTGTCAGATTTAGTCTTAACTAAAAATATGATGGTGTACAAAAATTAAGATGCTGAGAAAGAACACCCAAATTTTGCAATAAGGTAGACTGAAGAAATGTACAACAGATATGTTGCTCCTTGGTTTCTTTACACCAGCTATTTTCTCTCTCTTTTTTTTTTACAAGGATTAGCCCACCCGGGCACAGGTCACTGACCCACATCGGGGCCAGGGGGGCGAAAATGTAATAATAATAATAATAAAAACCATGAATACAATGCAAAAATGAAAAAAAGATCGAGTGAGAAACGATATATGTATGTTATCTTGTAAAAAAAAAAGAGAGAAACAATTGAGACCCCGCATTTGTGTGCAAATGAGGCAGAAAGTCAGATCAGTAACCTGGGAGTTAGTCACAACTTTTGTGAGGCCATATGGCAGCAGGGTCTACCATTAGACAACACATTATGCTTCCAATATCTTCTCAGGTGGTAGTACCTCCCTGTTTGATATTTGTCTTAAAACACATAACATACACACACACACACACACACACACACACTACATCCTTGACCACCGAAGGGTCAAGACGTACCTGGCGCTCCTCTCGGAGCAGCCAGGTCAACTGTTTTGTTGGCCCATACCAACTCCCTCCCCTGAACCCTCCTCCCCACCGGAATATCAACAAGTTCACGCCAGAAGTTACTATTTCATTTAGGAAAGAAATGGAACCAGTGTTAAACAGAGGTGAACAGTGGTGAACAGTGCTTAAGTCAGTGAGAACAACTCAACAGTAACAGTGGTACCCAAGTTGACCTTTCACACAGTGAGGTCCCAGGTACCCAGTGATAACGGCCCGTGAGACCCAACTACCAGCGATGTGTTAATCCGTCTACGATAGGAAGGCCTGGAACCACACCTCACTCATATAACACCATCTGTGAGGGAATTACTACACCACGTGAGGCCCCTCATAACACCATATGTGAAGGAGTTACTACACCACGTGAGGCCCCTCATAACACCATCTGTGAGGGAATTACTACACCACGTGAGGCCCCTCATAACACCATCTGTGAGGGAATTACTACACCACGTGAGGCCCCTCATAACACCATCTGTGAGGGAATTACTACACCACGTGAGGCCCTCATAACACCATCTGTGAGGGAATTACTACACCACGTGAGGCCCCTCATAACACCATCTGTGAGGGAACTACTACACCATGTGAGGTCCCTCCTAACACCATCTGGGAGGGAGTTACTACACTACGTTTTTGCTGTTCAACACTTACATTAATCTGTATGTTCACTGTATGTTCCTTCACCTTTCTCTAATGAAGGCTTTTGTTAAACCACCAATGTATGTAATAAGTCATTTATGCCCAATGTATATTTTCAGCCTTCGGGCTGCAGAACTTTTTCAATAAACTAAATTTAATTATTCTTATTATTATTTATTATTATATATATATATATATATATATATATATATAATATATATATATATATATATATATATAATATATATATATATATATATATATATATATATATATATATATATATATATATATATATATGTGTGTGTGTGTGTGTGTGTGTGTGTGTATATGTGTGTGTTTTTCATAATCAATTTACATGTAGGGTCTTGCACAGGTGTGATGCGGTGAAGGGTCGCTGCCATGACACTAGGTGACCATGAGGACAAGGGGCCACCTGATGTACACCTTAATGACGATAACCACGATGACAAGTGTCCCCAACCACTGGAGTACGGCTGTGACGCCTGGTGGCACTGGAGTCAGCGACACAAGAGCCCTGAGGTTCTCCTGTACGCCCGCACGGCACTCTTCCACCCGAACTGGTCGCACGGCACGGCGGCAGTGAGGGGCTCTCAAAAGATCAATGGTGGACTTCATTACTGGGAAGTGCAGGTATCCCAACGACTCTTTGGCACGGCGGTGATGTTCGGGGTGTGCACGGCATCGGCCAGACTGCACGCTGACAGCTTCGTCAGCCTGGTAGGGGAGGACGAATTTGGGTGGGGTCTGTCACACAAAGGTCTCATCTGGCATAATGGCAAGTGGCGTCACTACACCGAACCATTCCGGGAGAACCGCGCCACCACCATCGGCATATTGTTTGACGGTATGCGAGGTACTCTGGGGTTTTATAAAGATGCCAGGTGGCTGGGTGTGGCCTTCACGGGGCTGGACACTATTACAGAGCCCCTCTACCCCGTCATAGCCTCCACCGCCGCCAAGACAGAACTTACGTTAGGGGCGACTAAGCGAGGGTGGGTAGGGCTGCAGGACCGTGCTAGACACGCCCTCCTAGCCGCCCTGCAACAGCCACAACTTCTCTACACCCTGCCTCTACCGCCTGCCCTCAGGCACTACCTTGAGGATGACCTACCGCCTGACGCTACCACTCCCTGCAACACTCTTCTTCCCACCAATAAACTACACATCCTACCATCCTGATGACCACCAACACAATCTTCGAAGGAATGGTTGCCGAACTTCCCGCCTCCAACACGCACATGCTAAATCAAGTCTCGCTGCTTTCACTGTTGTGAACATTGCGCATTTTGAACACCTATTAGCAAGAAACTATAGTGTGATTTTAACACAGTTATCAAGAGCATGTACTGTAAAATGCCAGGTTGTGGAGCACCCATTGTCTAAACAATTCATGTTTCGTATTTTGGAAGTTGCAATGATATGTTTTTATAAACAAGTTATTGTCAAGCATCATATTGATGAGACCTAGAAAAAACAAACTTTTAAACTTTAACAAATCCAAAATTTATCATTATAAAAAAATAAACTAATGTTTTGTCCGCTTTATATATATATATATATATATATATATATATATATATATATATATATATATATATATATATATATATATATATATATATATATATATATATTTTAATTTTTAGAATCAGTAGTTTAAAAAATTTAAGACACTTTTTTCTTCTGTAGTGTTTCTGTTTGAAATTTTTATTTTCTGACTAATTTAATCGGACAAAATTATCAACAATATTACTTGTTAAAAGAAAATATGTTTTGTATTTTTTGAAGGTTAGGAAACGTTAGGTTGTAAAAGTGGTACTGTATGTATTAGTTGTCAATTTTCAATGTCTATTGTCTCTTTATATGGGCTCACAAACGAAAACTCAATAATGTGTTTTTATATATATATATATATATATATATATATATATATATATATATATATATATATATATATATATATATATATATATATATTGTTGTACAGTGCAGTGGGTGATGAGTAGTTTGCTCAGAAGTCCTGTTGGGCGAGGAGCATTCTGAGGGGGGTCCGACTAATTACCCAAATGTAGCAAAATGTAGCCGCAATGAAGTTAAATAATGGTCCTACATGAATAAATCGGACTGCCAATCACTTCTCGACTAGTATTTGGTGTCACAAAGTAAAAAAAAAATTGGAAAACGTAATTTAATCTGAGTTAATAGATCGAGTGCATGTACCTAACCTAACCTAACACAACTCAGATTAAATTAAGTTTACCAATTTTTTGTGACTTAATGACACCAAATAATAATCAAGAAGTGATTCACAGCCCGATTTACGCTTGTACGACCATCATTTGACTTCATTGCGGCTACATTTGGGTAATTCCTCGCTCCCTCGGTACATGCAAGCGATCTATTAACTCAGATTAAAGTAAGTTTTCCAATTTTTTGTGACTTTGTGACACCAAATACTAGTCGAGAAGTGATTAGCAGTCCGATTTATTCATGTAGGACCATTATTTAACTTCATTGCGGCTACATTTTGCTACATTTGGGTAATTAGTCGGACCGTTCTGAGGGAGCTGTAGAGAGGTCTTGCTGGTCCAGTAGGTCAGAGGAGAATGGCCTCCCTGGTTAGTTCAAGTTTAGAAGCTCCAAAAGTTGTTGGTAGCGAAAGTCAGAGCGGGGAAGATGACAGAGGTTAGGAAGGGAATTGTAGTGGGAGAGATAGTGCCGTGGCTTTACACGACTGCGTTTATTTGGTTAGCTCATAGTGCACGTATTGGGTTTTGTCTGTGTTGGGTGTGTGATCCTCGGGTCACCACTCCGGATTGTGTTAGTTCAAGTTTAGAAGCTCCAACAACTTTCCCTGAATACGAATTCGCAAACTTTCGATTTACAACAGGTACCTACTTTACTGCTAGGTGAACAGGGGCCAAGGGGGCTAGGAAGAGTGTCCAAACAACTTCCACTTGCCCGGGAATCGAACCCGTGACATCTTGCTTGCGAGGTAAGAGTGGTACCGCTTCTACCACAAACGCCCTCCCTGGCCAGCCATGCCCGTATTTATACAATTCTGCCAGATCAGGAATCGAGGCGAGCGTAGCGCGGGAGCCAATCACGGAGGGGAAAGCAAAAGGTACCAGACTCTGTGATCCTGTAGCCTCTCCTGGAGTTGCTACGTGTGCGTCCGCACTGGGGAGTAGGTCTATCTACCTACCTTGGGTCTATCGGCATCGCTGGCTGTACGCTGATTGGCTGGTAAGCGCGCGGCAGGGGCTCAGTCGGCAGTTGTAGGGGAGAGGATCTATTACAAGGTCAGGTTTAAAATATATTTTTTTTTTTATTTTGGTATCTTACCTATCTTACCCCACATTTCCCCTCTTCTTCAAAGCCCTGCCCACTTTAAACAAGTAATATTGTTGGTAATTTTGTCGATTAAAATAGTAAAAAAATATAAATTTTCGACGGAAATGCTGTTGAAGAAAAGTGTCTTAAAATTTTTTAAGCGACTGATTCCAAAACTTATAATCCTTTAATTCGCTGGATGAATGAAACGATAATTTTACCATATACTAGTATATTTTTTCCACTGCATAAATAATTAAAATGAATTGACTGCTTTAACGCAGAATATTAAATATGTACTGCATTGTTACTGGAGTGACAATTTGCATCACTATTATTGCAAAACTGCAGGAAATGTTCACTCATTTGTAAGAATTTTCGGCCCCGGTTGTTTATCTTTACATTTAATGATCAGGATCCATTCTCAAAGGTACGTACAACGAATATCCCTGATGAGGATGCAACAACGCACCTAAGCACATCCAGTCACAGCATCAAAATTACACTAAGGTTATCCTAACGAAATACCGTACCATTACTTAACACAAGTTAGGAGACAAATTTAACTGACAGAATATTTGGAAAGATTCTGCATGTTAATTTTTACCTTTGGACGTTATATTTGTGTTTGGATTAAAAATAACCAAGATAAATGCATTCCAACATCTACTATGCAGATGATTCATCGAAGAACCTTGAGAATCTGGACCACCGATCTCACCCAACTTGCTTACTTTTGGGCCCGATATACGTGTAAGTGTATACAGTATTGCACTGTATAATAATGTTACAGGCAAGCTGTAAAATCTGGCAATCTGTAAAGTACCTGTGAAAATGTCCCGTTCCATTTGGTGTATATGTACTGTACAGTATATCGGAAAAGTTAGTTTAGGTTAGATTATTCAAAGTTCACATAATCTAACATATCCTAACCTATGCTATACACAACATGTACTGTATATTATTATACATTTCACAAATTGCCTGATTTGATGACTACATGTAACATATACAGTACTGAAAATATTTTGATTTTCTAGTCCAGGACATAGTCTTCAATATTTGAACGTTAATTATTCTTCCTAATTGGAAGTAAGGGAACGAAGCTTTAATTGGTTGAGTACTGGAGTCTAAAACTAATTTCGTCAAAATTTTGGCGATCTTAAATCTCCAATTTTGAGGTAAATTATTCCTTATCAGTGTGTAGGGTGTGAAGAATTCATTAGTCAATTTTGCCATAGCACATACTGGTGATTATAAAAGTGGAGATTTTAGCTAGGTATGTCTGTCTGCCTGTCTCTCAATGCAACAGTACAATGTCATATAATTTACATTTAGTTCATTAATTCCTCATAAGAGAACAGCTGGCTTGCCCGTTTAAAAGCCTCACACAGTAAATCAGATTACTGTACTGTAGTACAGGTATATTATAAATTCAGATTGTGGTTTAATTTGTCTACTTAAATATTGCTCTTCACATCTGCATTACTTATTTATTTGTTACAGTAGCTACATAAATTCTTAGACAGTACAGTATGTTTTTTGGTTACTTATGTTCTATGACAGGCAAAACAAATTTATTTTACGAACATAAGAGAAAGTTATTCTATATTCTACAGCATTGTTGTTTCAAAACTGGTCAGTGCTGATATACCAGTACAGTATATGTTATCTTACTTTTACAGTACAGTATATATATTTAAAAAATTACCGTGTAAATATACAATGCACAGTCCTGATTCATGAAGATTCTCTATGTTAATTTTCTTCTTATTGGAGTAAAAAAAAAACTAATTTAGATACAGGGTACAGTAATATACAGTACAGTACTGTACTGTAGTTCTAATGCACTAGAGTGCCATTGTGAAGCTCATGTTTGTACTGTATTTAATTTAAGTCAGTTAGGTGCATTCTAACATCTCCAGCTATGGGGTAAATTAAACTCAAGAACCTTTGAGAATCGGGCCTCAGATTAGTGCATTACTTTTTACCATATCCTGAGTTCCTTAGTCGCGGACACTCGAGGTCGATGTCACAATGTTGCGAAACGATGGTTGAGTGCCCGCGAGGTTGAATCATTAGTGCATAACTTTGTGATGAGACTATTTTGTACTTAGATATTTATTTTAATTAAAGAGTACTGTATTTACTTATTAAATACCTCATTTGTCTTTAAGATGACCATAAAGCAAATAGTGTAAAACATATTTTTCATAATATTTTGTTCCTTTATACTTTGTTTTCCTATCCTTAACATTTTCAGATTGCAAATGATTTTGATATTTAAAACTGAAATTAAGTTTTTCTGGGCATATTAAACTTTAATGTATGGACAAGCAAAAAATCTTCAAAACTACAAAGCATGACTGTGTACATATGTAAGACTTGTTGGGTAGTTTTCAATTACATTCAAATAACAAAGTACTGTAACTTTTACCTTTGTGAAACTCGTTATATGGTGACCACAAGAGTAGAGTACAGTACTGTATTAAGGCAAGGATTACTCATCTCCATAAAGCTGGACCATAACTCTCTAAAATAATGATGGAATATACCAATCAAAGACATCCCAAATCTTGAGTAACATCCACACACCAGTTTCATCAAAATCCATTTCAGATCTTCATGTACAGTATATACAATGCACAAAGACACACACACACGGTGTCATCCTACTTAGACGATCGTCTATTATATGCAATTTTTACCAACTTGGTTAAACAGATTAGGTTTGGTTAAGTTAGTTTATGTTTGGTTGTTGCATTAAATTGCATAAAACAGACAATCGCCCAAGTGGGATGTAATCACACACACACAGACAAGAGAACAATCACACCAACATCAAGTCCTTATATTAAGAGATAAAACGAAAGTGTTCATTATCAAATCATTAACGTACTGCTTTAGTAACTGTTCTATAATGCATAATTAATTGGTTGACAGTACTACATGAGCTCTGATTCACCATAAATAATGGCAAGAGTTCTCAGTTTTATACACTGGTCAATGATTCTTTCACTCCTCTTTAAATCGAATACGTAGTTCCTTTTATCTCTCATAATTAGCCTGTTTGTCAGTAGTTTAATTCAAGGAAGAGAGATGACTTGCCTTTTTTTATCCAGAACTGTATCATTAAATTAACTATCATTGCTAATAAAGTCTTGAAAATAAGCAAGGATGGATATGAAGTACACCACAACTTTCAATGTAAAAAGAATCTTGACAATGAATTCTGACTCCGAGAAGAAATGCCACTCAAATTTGACACATACATATTTTAAACTTTTCACATATACTATATACTATATTCTGGTCTCAAATACCCATGGTAGCTATATGTTTGTCTCACGTTTATATTTTATATGCATCGGTGCCTTATATTTTCACACATCACAATGACCTGTATTTGTAAACTTGACCCTGCACTGACCTGTTTTTATACTCATGACATGATGCACACCGATAAGAATTTTCATACAGTGTGATTTGACCTATGGATCAGGTCACAAAGCAATGGCACAAATTAAGTACAATACAATACAGTAGAGTACTGGTAATTGCACTTTGGCAAATAATAAAAATCTTGAGATGAATATCGAAGTACAATACAGGTATTGTATTTTAAGTTTTAATGATGGAAAAGCTGATATAACTATACTGTACTTTACATTTCTAAAAACTAAAAATACTGCACTGACTGTATTAAAGAGCTATTGTTCTGAACACTGAATTGAAATATCGAGGAGACAGCTCAAATGGGCCCCACGCAGTCCTAAAGGGCCCTAACCTAATCTAACCATTGGGAGAGGCACCAAAACCTAATAGACCCTGATCCTCATGGTTAGGTTTGGTATCTATTAGGACAGAGCTCATTTGACCTACAACCACAAGTGACATGGCTGGTTATAGTCCAGATTCTCTAAGATTCATTTGATAATTTTACTCCACAGAACTGAGAATTAGGGAATGTACTGAGCATCCATGTGTACATTTATTACTATTTTAACTACCATCTGTATTGTAACTACAGTGATGAAGCCAATTTTTGTGTTCCTATGTCTCTATATGCAGAAGAAAAAAAATTGAAAATGTAAAAGAAGGTTTGCATGTACAGATATGTAATATAATAACAATGTTATTTCCTCTGAATAACTAGAATAAATTTCTGTGTCTGAATCTTTAATTACAAGAAAATAATTATCAAAGCTTAATTTCTCTATAGACATAAGAATGGATACAGAGTTCACGTCCAGTCCTCAGGTTCCTGTTTTGCACCACACTGCCTCCTTTGTATCAAACAATTACTGTAGTACAGTACTACAGTATATACAATACAGTACAGTGTGCACAGTACAGTATTCAAACTGTCCTTTGTGGGCCTAGGAGTTGCTTTTAATTGCAGTGGTAGAAAATTTTTAAAATTGTCAATTAAAGAATAATTTGTGGGCAATTGTACATTGTATCATTGAAAAATTAGTTTGACACAAGAAAGGTATTGTTCCTGTACATGTACACTATTGGCAAGTCACATAAAAAATTTAATTCCCATTTTCCCAGAACAAGTCAGTAAGCACAAAGTGACCACACAAACTTTTGCCTCCCCACACACACACACACACAATCTTTGTGGTTCTGTATATCTCACTTGTATCAACACATAAACTTACATTTTAAATTTGGGAAGCTGTACATTCCAAATACCTCTTGGGTGTTTTATTATTTTATTTCTTTACACAATAACTTCTAGATCTGAACTTTTAAAATTTCACCAGTATTTCGTTTTCTTTTAACTTTTGTAAAATAGGTAATACAGTACAATACATATGATATAAAATTAGCAATAAAAAAGTTTTTCCTTGTTGGGAAGTTGTTCAAATGGACTGTACTTACACACAATCACAGCCTCACTTAACCTAAATTAGCCTAGCCTAATCTAACCTAACCTCTTAAGATCCGGACACCAGTTCTAAGGAACCGTAATCTTCATGTTTTGGCTGGGGTCTACTGGGACTAAGATAGGCTCATTTGACACACAATCTATTGGTAGTATACTTCACTACTAATTAATTTTCGCATTTATATAAAAATAGAGATTTGCAATATTGTGCTAAGACATTTTATTTGATCTAGATATGGAAATAACAACACATAACTACCATGTAAGTACAGTAGTGCAAAGTATTCTTCTCCTAGGTGGGGGAGGAGGTTGGGGGAAGGAAGGGATGTAGGGGAGGAAGCAGGAGGGAGAGGGATAAAATCCAAGTTTCCAAAATTTACACTAAAAACATTGCACTGGATATCTACTTCTGTTGAGGAAGCACTAAATGACAGTTGTAAGGCATGAGTAATCAGAGTTTGTGGTCAAATATGACATCTTTTAAGACTGTAGTTGACAATTTTTAGTGGACATGTGTATCAATTTGAGCCATGGTCCTGTAGAAGAATACTTTGTATCAACGGTTGACGATTATGAGATGGTGACAGATATATTCTAAATAATTCTACCTTGTACCCTAAAGATCACATTATGTTGTAGAAAAATATACAAGAGTTATTTACATCAGTATCTTGTGATTAAACTGTATCTGGATGAAACAAATGTACTTCAATACAGCATACAGGAGTCATATATTATTGTAAAATGTGTTTTACAATTTAAAACTTATTTTTCTAATCAAATAATAAAAAAAATTATTTATGAATTCACATTATTTTCAAACAGCATTAATCCTCTGTTGACACAACTGTGATTTATCCTTTAATCTTCCTGAAGAAATTTCTAGTGCTAAGAATGAAACCTTCATTCTTATAATAAAATCACAAAAAAAAAGTATGTTGGAAATGTAAACTTTGTCTTTGTCCTATTAGGGAATATAAAATAGATTAGACACTGATAGTTTAAACTATGGAAGACTTTTATATTGGTTGTACAGTCGGGGTCAAAAGATCGTTCCATCCCAAACTGAAGCAATATGAACCCAAATTAAACAGCACACTCGCACCAGATGACAGTCAGCGTAAATAAGTTCGGAAACTCATTCCCGTATTTCAGTTTTACCACAAGGAGCGATATTTTGTCTGCGACTGTACAGCAAGAAGGAAATATGAGTTGTAAATTATAAAAAATAAATAAAAATAAAGGAGTTTCAGCATTACCTATGTAAACAATTTTGAAAAATCAAAAGTGTTGTCCATGCATTTCGGGAGATTAAGAGGAAATTACTTCACTCAGTTACACACACTTGTTTGTAAGAGTCCTGGCAAGAGAGGTAACTTGAGTATCTAAAAAGGAAGAGTGGAATACAGCATCGTACACAACAAGAAAGTTACACATTCAGTTACTCAGTACTGTATATCATGCAGATGACATTACCCTATACGTAGTTGAACATAAAACATATCATAGTTTATTCAACACCATGATTCAATTTAATAGATACAGTACACCATTCACAGTATCATCTTATTTTTTTCTACCACATTGAAGGAACTATTATGTACAGTTCAGTATCTTATAAAATACAGCTGCTTTTGATATATTTCAGTTCTATATACAGGGTATTTAATATTACAAGTGTTTCAGGACATTAAAATGAATGCAAGAGACTTTATCTCACATTAAGTGTTATACTGATCACAGGAAGGCTACCAGTTACACTGTACAACTGAAATAAACGTTTCGTTTGAATAAGGATGACCAGTTGGCATGGAACATTGAAAACTTCTGAAGAAGTTCATTAATCTATAATAGCCATACAAAAATGTCAAGTGCCAGATGATATCTGAAATAATTTATCTTGGAAAACAATTACTGGTAGCTCTATATATGAGAGATAAGAACTCTTTGTTGATAGAAGCAAAAACAGTGATGAAAAATGTAAGAGGATGAATCTAGTGACATTGGGAGCTATTTTGTTGAATTCCTAATGTGTGGCACAAAAATTTAGCAGTTGTGCCAGTGAAGGACTAATGGTCCTCATTGTATATGTGGTTACATTCAAGAAAGTGAACACAAATGTCAGTATTGAGTTTGGAACACATCTGAAGCCTTGGATAATACCTGTATACAAGTACAAGAAAATAATTTAAAAAGCCTAAATTGTACTCTCTGTATGAACAGATTGACAGTCAAGGTATATGACTTGTTCTGGGGCCATAGCTTAGCTAATAATGGCCAAGGTTTATTAGCCTTCTCTACAATCAGGATATCTGGTATAAGGTCCCTGTATCTTTTGTTATCTGGACATCTATACTTCAATATAATTCCAGTTTGAATATTCCAAACGTTTTCTGGTCCCAGGATATAAGTTTTTCTGTTATCTAGATTCTACACCAAAGGAAGGTTATCTAAACAGACTTTAAAATGTTAACACTACTAAAACTGCAAGGGATGCTCATGACAGCAATGATACAAGAGGATGCTGTCACCATTGCACACTGTACAGTATTTATGTCAGTGAATGAGTCTGTGTTACTTCTCACTCTGGCCATCCTGAGACACATGAGAGAAGGGCTTGCAAAAGTGAAAAAAAAATATATATATATTTATTCATATAAATTTATTTATTTGCATGGTTCTTTACTTGGTTTACGTGGTAATCATAATTGGTCAAGTCTAAATACAAAGATAAATCGGCATAATCCTACACTGAAGAAACAGTGTTCAAGAATATTTGGGACACCGGTACAGTACTAGGCATGGAAAAATACTCAGTTACATGTAGAAAGGCACTAAATTTGGCTGTTAGATTGCATAGTATGCAAAAGAAATACAAAGTTTTATACAGGTACAACTTTTCCCCATTGTGTAATTTGTATGTATTTCAAGACTTCCCTTGCTTTATCCACAATGCCATTGTTTAACATATGCAAGGTTGCTTAATATATATACCACATTTAATTTTTGAAATATTCCTACTAAAATGGTTAGGGGGTACTCGAAGATATTCATATACAAGTACAGTACTGTAATGCCAAAATGGGAATGAAAGAAAGAATACTGCTAATTCTGAATAAATAACTATAACATTGTGTACCATTATCAATAAAAAAAATTATTTTGCTGCAAAAATTTTGCGAACTGTTTTATATTATCAAACTAGTACAGTACTTAGTTGCTTCTAGGTTCAGTAATATGGACAAAAGTATCAGACTCTTAGTTTATGAGAGATTTTAAAGAAGAAAGAAAAAATATATGAGTATAGGGAATGATTACATCTAGTACTGTCTGTCCAACTAGGTTATAACCAAAGGTATGGTCCTATGTGGAAGAGGAGGTATTGAGCAAAACTGTTTTACTTTTGTAATCCCAGCCTAAAAGGTTTGGGGATACAGTCACTGTGCAGTCCATCCATCCACCCATTGGTGACAGATGGTGTTAGCACAATAACCAAAATTCTTTTGGAAGCATTGCAACCAAACTTCACGCATATGATTCTTAAAAACAGTTGGTTAATCTTGGTTATTTTGGTCTCTGTTGGGGGTAATCAGCCATTACTACAGAGATGGCTTTGCTTCTTACTGTCATTTAAGACAAGCTAGAACCTTTTGTAATCTCTTTTATGAGATGGATGGAATGATCTATGATATTATGATGTTAGTAAGGTTAGTAATGTACGTACCTTATATATATATATATATATATATATATATATATATATATATATATATATATATATATATATATATATATATATATATATATATATATATATATATATATATATATATATATATATATATAACAGTATTGCCTATTAACATACCAGTACATCTTATCTGTGACCATTCACTCCCCTGAGATCACCCCTGACAGTGACTGAAGTCTCCAGGCTTCCCTCTCATTACACATTTCCTTTATTATCTCTATTCCCTTTGTCACCTCATCTATTCTTCCCTCAATGTATTAATTCACATTTTCCTCCCAGTAACACACATATGGAAGCAAGTAATTATCAGTCACATATTCTGATTAACAATATGTAGTGTCCTAAAACTCTTACACAAAAATATACTGTAACTTGTAAGAGGTTGTTCTTTTAATACATTTTGCATCTATAAGTACCTCTTTTTTTTTTTAACTAATTTTAGTAAGCCAGAAGTGATGATGCCTTGATACTCAACTACAGGAGAAAGTACTGACCAACACACAGTAATATTCCTCAACCATTTTTCACAAAAGCTTCTATATACAACTATTGAAGAACCCTGTACAGTACTTATTTCATGAACTTGTAACTGTACACGGAATACGGTACTGTACATATCAATAGATGGAACAATTAGCTGTACGAGGAATCCACAGTTAAGCTCAAAACATGTAATCATAACGTAGGTAGTTAAGCCACACAAGAGTGATCTGAAGCAAGGCTGTGATGACATAACTTGAGACATTGGTGAAGATTCACATCAATCTTACACACACATTCATTATTTTCCACAGAATAACAAACTCAAAATTAATTTCACCTGTAAACAAAATTCTGAAGCTCGGACAATTCTACGTAAAGAATATGAAGCTGAAACAACTCTACAGAATAGAATCTTCAAGTTAGATCAACGCTACATAAATAATATAAAGTTACACCAATTCTACAGAAAGAAAATTTAGCTAGAACAAATCTACATTTGAATGACCTTACATAAAAAAATGTTGAGGCTATAACTCTACACAAAACATCCTTCCTGACAAAATGTTCCTCGCAGAATAAATCCAGATAGGAACACCGGGATTTTGAAGTACTACAGTAAACTAATCAGTTTAATCCTTCTCTTGACCTCAAATATACCTTATATATAATTTTTTTGGCAAATAACTAAAAATACCAATAATTGTTTCTTTAGAAAACCGTGGTTGGTCACTTTTACAGCTTGCAGTAGTACTGTAATTTACTTCTTGAGACTAAGAAACACAAGCTATCTACAGACCTAAAATTCCAACACCACTGAACACATAATTATCTTTCAAATTAAGAGAAAAATAAAGATACTTACATTATAGTGCCTATCAATACATGTTTGACAACTATCTCTCTCTCAAAAAAAGGGCAGGAGCTTTAAATATTATGCTCAATTTCTTTTGCAGTACAGTACAGTACAGTACAGTAGAGTACAGTACAGTACAGTACTTTGCTTAACTACACTGCCCAGTTCTGCCTCCAATAGTGCTTTTAGTATTCATCAGGCACAAATTACCAGTAGTCATTTAAACCGAGTACTTAATAATAGCCATGACATGAATGAAGATGAATTCTAAGATTAATATTTTAGTCACTGCTGGTTTCAATGGCTGCCTCTCACAGGTACTTTACCTGTGAGTGACAATCATTCATGGCACCTACATATTAATTACATCACATGAAGTTGAGAGAGGGTTACTGTGTTTTAGGTACTGTAGTACAATGTTAACTCCTTCACTACAGGGATGCCATGTTTAACATTCTATTCAGTAAACACCAAGACAATTTTATTCAGCAGAGAGGGAACCCTGTACACAAGAAGTTAACACAGTATATACTGTACTACTAACCCCCCCCAATAAAAAAGCCCTGCAAAAGTGGGAAGATTTTCACTTTTTTTTTTGTGGAAAATACTCTTATAATCTTTATATAATTTTGTCATTACAGCACAGTTCCACCTCCCTTCACCCATGCATTAAAACACATGAATCAACAAGGAATATGTGAACGTTTTCTTACGATATTACTTATTAAACATTTTGTCACTGTAGGCCCTACAAACTACAGTACTGTACTCTTAATGTATGTTATTGCCATCATACAGTACACATGCCGGCTCAGCCATAAAGTAAGGAACAGGATAAGAGTTAAGATATTAAGTTTGTACTGATTTTTTAGAGGGTAACACATTGTGAATAGTGGAGTTCAAAATTAATAACAATATAAATAAGCATAAAAATCATAAGGAATAAAACTTTACACTAAAATAATATTATAACACTGTATGACATTTCATACTACAGTATATGACTTAACTTACAATTACTTTGAAATATATGAAGATATAATTTATTAAACTAATGAGATAATTATATATCACATGTACAGTCCCCCCCAAAAAAGTATCGTTAGATTCTTTGTCGCTAAAATTTGAAATGCTAGACGATATGCTTTGATATGATCCCCAGTGCATCATGATAAGTTGGTATGCCTGCTTACCATATCAGCAAAAGCTAGAGATGGGGTAAGGATTGGGGGGAGTGAGTCATCCTTGTATGGCATATATACTACATACCCTGTACTGTACTTCAATATAACAAGAAATCCATTAAGCTATATTAATGTATATATAGTTTGAAAATTTATACTGTATACTTACTCATTCATGCTCAAAAGTTGCCAACGTAGAACTACCAACTGTTCAGAAACAGGTTGAGCAAAATTGCTTAGAAACCGTCAAATCACGTCGACTCCACGGTTAACGATACCTTTTTAGGGGACTGTACAGTACAGTATACCTAAATGAGAAGTGAAGTAAAAAACATCATAAAGCACAGAAAAAATAAGCTTAACTTTATAGTGCAGTACTGTACAGTGTTACACCTGAAATTTGTTTAATCCTTTCCTTACTACATGGCCAAGCTTGCAAATCTATGTATGACAGCAACCATTAAAACAAGTTACTATATTATGAAGTAAGAATGGGTTTAAAGATTGTCTAATAATGGGAGAAATATTAAGTTATCATATTCTGAAGGAAGATTTCCCATAATGCCATAAATAACAAATACAATGCCATTACAGTATTATGAATTACTTGTGCTATGCATAAAAGTTTTCAGTAACAAAACAGTGACATATACTACAGGCATCCTTGTTTTACGAACATTTGAGATACGAAAATCCGCTTATCCAAATTTTCTAATTTAACGAAAGCTACCCTCACTTTTACATATTATGGTCCAAGCAAACATTCAAATCGTACACCCCCGGGAGTCTGTTGGGGCAGCCATCTTGGAGAGATGTGAAAACGTATTCTCACTCACCAGGCTAAGCTGTAAGCTATGTTATGGTCATTTTCATTTTTTTTTTTACTCAGTTATAAATGCACATACAATCCTACATACATAAGGTGCAAAAAAGTAAAAATATATATATCATAAAGTCAGAAACATAAAGGGAATAAACATGTTTTTGTGTACAAAAATTAGCACACTGAGCAGGTGAGTGGGAGGGGGGGGTGGGTGAGGTGTTGGAGCCTCAGTTGCTAAGGGGATCAGCAGAGGCAGTGTCCCAGCTGGGCTGTGTTGCTATGGCAAAATTTGAGGCCACGCAGCCAGTCTTATGCAAATGCCGGTTGTGTTAAACTCTCATTTAGCTTTTCCTTAATAGTTTAAGCTGCATATTTCTATCTAGATAGTATACAAATGTTGCTTGAAGTAGCACAATTGTTATACTGTATAGTGTAAAGGTACAGGTATACAGTGTATCGGTAACCTGTTACAAGTACCATGCATATAAAATACAGCCTTCTAAATAACGCTAATGTCCTATATCCAACTCGGAGCTGGTGCCATGGTTGCCTGATATGGAAGCTTCAATCTGTACTGCATTTTATTAATGTTTTTAATGTGTTAGGTAGTAAATTACAGTAGTTGGGTACTAATTTTCATAAGTTCGGGAGGTTTTTTGGTGTTCGTGAACTGATTTAATATTCTTGGGATATATTATTGGGTTTTCTTGTCGTTGGAAACCGAACCCTATTTTTTCATTTGTTCTTTAATTCAAGATGCGAAAATTCACCTAACAAATTGTTTCCCAAGAACCTAACTCATTCGTTAAGTGAGGGCTACCTGTACAACTCCAATGCTATAATAAAGGAATACGAGTTTCTATTATGACCAGTCATCATAATTCAACACCAAGGGACACAGATATTTGTTCTAGATACTGACTTTTGAGTGGAAGGCCGTAAAGTCTCTCGTCATCAATGACAGCACACTGGAAAAAGTCGATAACACTGAATGAGTACACACATCACAGAAAAATGTGCACATATACAGTAAACTCGACAATAATAAAAATAAAACAATTACCGGTAAGCCATATCCCAAAATTTGTGGGACAGCAACCCCTAAACAAAATGACTTTGCTTACCCTGGGACACAGGCAAAGCTCATGTCTGTCATGTTTAAGGGTATGCATACATTTGGATTCCTATGAAGTACATTTCTAGGCTGTAATAAAGTGCTGCCAACTACTGTGCTATACACATACACAGGTAGATTGCAAAAAGTTCACTTGAATGAAAATCTCAGAAAAATTCATCAACTAGATTTCAAGATATTGTTCATTAGTGTGAAAAGTTTTAATAAAAATTAAATACGTATTACATTTGCCTGTGAAACATTCGTTGGCGTCACTTGATCAACAGCCGGAAAGAGGTCGGCATCCCAGCTGTGTTGTCGAAGCCAAGGAGCCAGGGGTAGAATGTGCCCCTCTGTGGTGAACATGTACCGATGGGAGTTGAGGTTGACGGGATTATCAACATCAAATAACTGTCAAAAAGTAAATACATCAGATACAGAGTTTTTATTACATGGGATTTATATAAAAGTTCAAAGGTGATAAAAAGAGTATGGGAATCAAGGGGTCTGTGACTCAAACACTGTAAATCATTAAAAAATAGGGATAAACTGGTTGCTCAAATTGGTGAAGTGAATAAAAGAATGTTTCAAGATTTACTGAGGTCAAATTAACAAGTTTCTGGATCATATAATGAAAATACTTCACCAAGAACAATGTGAAGTTCCTCAGACTTTAACTGAATTGGTAAATTTGGCAAGCAGCCACTCATTAAAAGATAACTGATGGTGTACACTATTAACGAGGAACAAAACACAATATTAAAGGCAATTAATAAAAAATAAATTCTGAGAAAACATGATACATCTCAGATGATGAAAGAGATAATGGTGGAAATATCATGCAAAAAGACTACAAAACAAAAATTTGTATTTTCATAATAACACAGGACAACACAACTTGACAACTTACCAAATAAAGGTATTTGCAAGTTTCCGAGAGGAAAAATGATTCCATGCGGTCCTCAAGAGTCATGTCCAAGACGGAATGAATGGTGGCATAACCACACTGGGCTTTGGTGAGGTTATTGAGAGATGTCAATATATCTCTACCTACATGCAGGTAAAATGGGTTTCTTGTTGCCTGTTGAGAAAAACATGAATCAAGATTTGGAGAGTTGGCACTGGTGAACAAAGACATGAGTGTTTTATAAATAACTATGTAATACTCAATCACAAGTGGAACAAGCCAAAATGCATTAGCTATTTGTCAATGATAACAGAAGGTATTTCAAGGAGTACTATCCAAAAAGAGCCTTTTAGATGCTCTTATGGGCAAAATAGGGACTCATATTGACAAAGTGTGTGGGTAGCCCAGATTTGATGATGTGGGAAAGCCTTGATTGCTTTCAATGAACACAACCAAACATAATGACCCAGTTTTGGAGCCCCATGAAGAGTTTGTCTACATTTGTCATTGAAACACAGACAATTTACACGAGCTTAACTAAATGCACATAATCTACATGAGCCTAATTACCGTATCGTGAGAGAAGTGTTAAATAATGAAGACTACCAGACAAATTCTAAACTGAGCTGAAACATATACCTGGTAGAGTAAATATGTAGACTCCACAAATTCAGGTCGCAGAGGGTAGAACATGACGTCTGGAGAAATACGCTGCCAATTGAATCTCTCAGGGAGCACACCATACTTTTTCCAAATAGTGTAATAGAGAGCATGTGTGCAGATGGCTTCCTCCACATCACCCGCTAGAACCTGAAACAATAAGATCAATGAACACGTGACTCAGACTTCATTCATAATTTAAAATAAATATTTCAAAATCAAATTACTGTACTTCAATTAGTATTATAATTTTAAGCATCCCAGCTAGCTTCATTCCTCACTTCACCTTCACTTGTATTTTCATCTTCTAGTAGTGCTACTCTACAAACACATACTTGAGGGGATTGATGGCAAGCTATCTCTTATTGGTGCTGATGTCCTGACAGCTATTTTCATGCCAAATTTTATTATATTATTCTTCACTGCATTTCATCTTAAACTACCTATACAGCATACAATTTAGTAAGTTATTCTTTATGTTGTATATATTTCCAAGTACAGTACTGCATTATGTGATATATACATTCAGTAATTTACAAGGACACAGTTTTACAAGTGCTGTACAGTATACTGCACACACCTGTATTCCAGCAAATGCAGCCTGGAGAGAGTCAATCCAGGTAGTTTGTGTCCCACCATTCTTCATATCAACATTAACATACAAAGGATGATCACCTGACCCAGAGTTACAGTGTGGGCGGCTGTAAAGGAAGAATCTTTTTTAAAGTGCTATACAGTGGGTACTTAAAGATCATTAAATAGTTAGAATAACCTTAAGATGCAGTGATAATTTAGATTGCTGTCAGTCAAAGGTACCCTGTATACACATTCCAGCAATACAGAAATGAGAGTTGTAAGAGGATGATGTCCCCTGGTCTGGTCCTATAGGTACAATGAATGAATGAACAGACATGATCTCATTTTAACCATGGACTTTGTTCAAATTTCATACAAAGGTAATATTTTACATGCTGATAAAGGATCTGGGTTCACAATTTTAAAATTCCAGTAATTAGTGTTAATTAATGATCTTTGAAATGATTTAAGATATTTAGAATATACTGTATTTAAAGTCAATTATGCTGTGCCCAAAATCATATGACCTCTCACCCCCATATACTGTACTGTATATCAGTATGGAGCAGTACACTTAGCATTTAGTGCACACATGTATTGCACCACACGAAGAAAGGAATTCCAATAATAAAAACAAAAAGTTGCACTACTGTTATTATTAATCACATAAGTAATCCATATTAACAGGACTTATCTGATATAATTATTAAAGAATGAGATTCTCCTTTGTACTCTAGCCCTTGAAGACTTGGCAATAAAATGAATACTGAAAAGTGGTCCCCAGGAATGATCTCAAAATAAGATGCTAGAAAAATAAAAAAGGTTGGGATCATTTACTTCATGATGGCATGAGGTCAATTTCTCAAGCAGGAATAAAAAGTTGATGGGTTATACTGTATCAAGAATTTTTGACAAAAGTCCCAAAACATGACTTAAAAAATAAATATATACAGGCTAGAACTGGTGTAGGATACGTTTATAAAGGTCAAATAAATAGATTTTCCTTAACACATCGAACACAATAGCTTACCCCCTTCTCATATACTGCTTTATAACTGAGTACGTCTCATTAAACATAGCGAAGTCCTCTGGGTGGCCAAAGAGGATGTAAGCTTTCAGAAGGTACTCATAGAAGCTGTCTAGTCCAGCTCCAACACCACTCAACTCCCCTACCCACTTGCCCGTGTCCACATCCACAGCATTACCTGTAAGAAAGATATATAAAGAAATCTGTTCAATCTTTGTCCTCCGAAGATCAACAGATAATGTAGCAAGATTTACTACACCACAGATCATATGTAGAGAACTATGAAATGATCAGTGTTATCCTAAGCAATAACTGCTAAAAGTTCTTGTGAGTGTAAAGTACATACAACTTAAGCTGCACTCACCCCACCCCCCCACCACACACACACACACACAACAAGGTGAAACATATAGCTACTGTATACACAAACAATAAAAACAAAAATAAACTTTATACACAAAACATACAATACAAAACAAAAGCCATACACACATTATGTACATACACACAATAAAAACAAAGGCACAAACTAAAAAATATATACAGTACTACAGTACATTACACACAGAAACACATACAAAAACATGGTGTATACACTACAATATTAAAAATACAAACACAAGCACTTTTACCCCATTAATATAAATAACAGACACAATTGAACATCAATACAGTACTGTACACAAAAAAGAGTTCCATCTAAATTCTTAAAATAAGTACATCTGTACAGTGGTCCCTCGGTTAACGAACGCCTCAGTTAACGAAATTTCAGTTAACAAATTACCTTCCATAAGAATTTTCATTTCGGTTAACGAACAAAAATTTGGTTAACGAAATTCTTACGAAAATGTTTCGACATGCTTTGGCTTGCTCACCAGCTGGAAGATTAGTCTGCCAATACAGAAATCGGTTCTAGAGCTTACATTCGTTAAAATTGGAGTAAATATCAAGAAGGTTGTACTATTCAATAATTTTCCAAGTTTTGTATTAAGTTTTTTAGTCATTTTAACACTTATTTAACATAATTGCAGTACAGTACAGGGAACTAGCTTTTGGTGCACCCATCAGCCACTTCACTCACCCACCAAGGCCTCAGTTTGTATCTCTGTTCAGTGGAGGAAACATCTTGCTTGTGGGTCTCTTGAACACAGAGTATTTTTACGTTTTTACAGTACAATTATTGGTCATTCTAAAATTTATTTAACATATTGATAATATATAGTGCAGTGCAGTGTTGATTTAAAGAAAATAATCTTGAATTACACCTAGTGAACTTAAAATTTTATGGGTGAAATGACGGCATCAAGCATGGGGTGATTTCTCTTCCACCCCCACTTCCTTCTCTTCTCCCTTCTCCTCCACCCCCACTTCTAATTCCCATCATCATCATCATCATCATCATCAACCAAGAGCCTTCTACATACACACCTCAAAGTAAGTGTACTTTACTGCATTTTTTTTAAAGTTTGTATGTAATTTTTGGTGAGCTGGAACCAATTACCCAAAATCCCATTGAAACAATGGTTTCGGTTAACAAACGACCTTCTGGAACGAATTGTGTTCATTAACCGAGGGACCACTGTACTGAACAATAGTTACAGGGATCTTCATTATTATGGCAACTCACCCAACAGTCCAGTTTCTGAATTTCTTAATTTCCAAAGGACCCTATTAGCCCTCCTAGCAGACATCTCATATACTGGATCACCAATGAGGCGACTGAGAACCCCAAACTCAACAAGAAGGGATCCGGCACCAGCTGTGCATGTGTCAGTGCGGCTACCTTCTGGTACTCCTTCTCGGAGATTCACCTGCATATAGAGAATTATTTAGTTCAAATTAAAGTAAGACATTTTACATTACAACAGGGAAAAAATACACAAAAAAATTATATTTAAATCATATTAATAACTACTTATAACCTCATTAATAAGATTTTGAAGGTATTACCCGAGGATGAGGAAGACCAGTCTTGGAGTTATCAAAAGCTGGAAGGAATCTGGAAGCAAGATCAGATGCCATCTCAAGTAGTTCCCCATCATACCATTCAGGTTCAAGATTCCCAAATGGTTTATTTTCATCTTGAATGAGCAGGTGAGCTGATAGTAATGCTCCCAACAACCTGAAATACGCTTGTTTTATCGTGTACTGCATAATGAAATAACTGACATAATTTGACTGGCCTCAAAATTCTAGCTGCCTAGTCTGCAGCCTGCATTATGAGAGCTGCCTGGCATTAAGGCATAATACATAAGTTTTGATGTAAATCTTTGTTTCCTAACTGAGGACATTATAATATCAATGGAGCATACTTAAGATTTCTCATTTCTATAAGATGGTAACACTCTAGACTCCCAACTCCAATAGCATAGGTTCAATCCTGTAGTCAAGTGGGGTTAGGAGGGTATCTGGTTATGGTAACCCTGCTAAATGACTTTGGAAAATAAAATTAATACCGATATACAGTATTCACAAGAGTTGAAAGAGTTTTTGCTTTAAATTCAAAAGTTCAATAAGTAATTATGAGGTTTTATATCTTACCTGATATTCGCCTCAAAGACTTGGACAGTCGAGTTCTTATCAAAGCTAACATTTTCAATGACTAGTGTCACAGCTTTACGGAACTCCCCAGCATCCCCAAGAATAGCGAGCGTGTCTAAGGCATCAATCAAGGTCAAAGAATAATCTCCAAGAATGTCATTAATGTTGATATTGGACCTGAGAACAGAAATAGCTGAAAATTAACCACATCATCCATCACACAACCTGTTTATATCACATGGATTATAGGAACTTTTTACTATACTGTATACAGTGTAAAGCAAAAATGATGTACAGTCCCCCCCATAATGTATTGTTAGATTTTCGGTCGCTACATTTTGAAAAGTTACGACGATATGCTCTGATATGACCCCCAGTGCATCATTATAAGTTGGTATGCCTGTTCATCATATCAGCAACAACTAGAAATGGGGCAAGGATTGGGGGAGGTAGTAGTCCTTGTATGGCATACTAGATACTCCAATATAACAAGAAATATATTAAGCTATATTAATGTCAGTATTGTTGTGGACGTAGAACTACCAAACAGTCAGAAACAGGTCAAGTAACATTGCTTGGAATGCCTCGAATCACATCAAACCCATAGCTAACAAAATTTTTTGGGGGGGAACTGTACATACAATTCAAATCAAAAGAATTAAGAAGATTTGTTCATTTGAAAATACCCAGTAGCAAATAAGAAATGTCACACCATATTCAGCAAATGTATATAGATATAAGAGAGGCAAAATAAAGCATTGATAAAGGCTATTAAAAAATTAAAGCAATGAGCATGAACTGGAAGACGGTCTTGGGATAAATTTCTTGTCTTACATAGGAGCTCTATAGTATAGCTGAAATTAGTATTGCTGTAAGACGAGAAAGTGAAAAACAACTTTTATTTTATAATGTCTCCAAATACTGTCCTGTAAAATAGTTACAGTGCAAAGGGAAAGAATATGGCTACCCACTAGTGGCTCCTAACCATTAATAAACACACAAGATTCTCCAAGATTACATTTTATACTATGGGAATAAAGGGATGGAAAATGGTTAAATACAGTACAGTATAACTTGTCTATACTTAATTATTTAAAAATAACTTTACAAAAACGAGAAAAAATATCATTGTGTGGTAATGGTGGCGGAGGCTATTGTAGGGGTATATCAGCAAAAGGAACTTACGGAATTGTACCAAAATTTCTAGAGATGTTATTTGCATGACACTAAATAAGAAAGTAAATTAATTCTTACTCTACAAAGCACTCAAGAGACAGTTTATTACTGCCATATGATCAGTTTTTCACAATATTTTACCCCCGTAATTTCCCTCCTCCTTCATGCTCTGCCCAATTCAGCTGATTTATGATTGAAGAGTAGAGAAAAAAGTTGTTGTTTCCTTTTATACTTATCATCAACCAAACAACATGTGAAAAAAAATGACCAAATTCTATATTCTCTTTCTGGTAATAACCGTCTCCTCCACTTTTACACATTCATTTGGACTGGTTGAAGATTTTTAACTTTAGTTTATCTCACCTAAATATTAACTACCAAAATACTAACTTAATTAGGTGAAATAATTTAGGATTGACTGGTGTTGTAAATATCAAGAGTGTGCTGCAAACTAATAAAAAGCCCATAAGAAATAAAGTAAATGCCTCTTGTACACTTTATCCAACACAACCTTTTACTTTCAATTCTGACCTCAATTAAAGATGTAAATAATTAACACCATTAACCTTCATTTTACTTACGGATTGTCATAATCTGGTCCTCTTCCATTACAGTATATGGGATTAAGTTCGTCTTTGGGATAAGCATATTTCATGTAGCTGTCATAGCCAAAATAAAACATTTCTTTGGTGTCCTTCTTAAGTCTAAGTCTCTCGTTCTCTGATATGCCTCCATATTTCTTCTCTACTCTATTCAACGGATACCTGAATATATTAAAGGCACATTCACTAGTATATATGCTTTGGAGAGCAATGTGTATAAACACTAGGTAAAGTGATAGTGGTGACACCATAATAGCACCATCCTAGGGACAGCTGACATGGTGAACAAACATCAAGACAAATGACGGGCGGAAAAGAGGAACGTGTCAACTTTTATTATTATCCTATTCTAAAAACATGTAAAGATTTATATTACAACAAAAACTGCTGATTTAACGAGGTTTCATTTGATGTATTGCTCAATAACTTAAAAAATCACTTGCCTTAAACTTTTATTTTTCCCATTAACTACACAATTCTTCCTTATCCTTGGTTCAATATTTTTTTTACGATTTAATTATTTCACCAAGTATATAAATCATTATGAAATTATACGGTTATTTTAATCTATAAATATATCTAGTTAATAAGTGCAGTTACAACGTCTCAGTAATAGACAGACGCGGGAGACGAGAGGTTGACAGGCGGACAGAAATTCAGTTTTATTTGTAATTGTGTAAATATTTCCACAAATACTTGTCTTAAAAGTCATAGGACCAGAGGAGGTGAAGATAATTTTGTTTTGTACTTTATTAACTTTTTATTCAGTAAACTTGTCATACATAAATGCATATAAGGGCACACAGTCTTAGTCAAGGAACGGCTACCCCAGTATATTAGATCCATTTGAAATTCCATTCAGTACAAACTTTTTAGGAGTGAGAATTTTAATTAAACTCTTGGAATAATCTGCCAGCAACCGATAGAAGAAAATGGTCACTGGCTTCTAAGGGGTACTGTACTTGATTAAACTTTCAATTTCTAGGGGACACTTAACTTAAATTTCATGCTCGTTTTATCCGTAAACAAGAAAATGGTCGTTTTCTTGGGAACACTACATAAAGGTTGAAGGAGTCACAAGTTCAGAAAATTGCCAGGGAAGATAGATATATAGTTCAGGTATAAAGGGATTACCTGAAAAATCTCCACCCCATCTTCTTTTACCTTAAGTTTAACCACCCTAATACTATTTGCAGGGAGGGGGGGGGGTGGGGGGGATTAGGTTAGGACAGCATTGGGGTAGGTAATCTTTAGGTGAAAAAAAAAGCTGGGGTGCAAATTCTTCAGGTGATCTGTTTAAAGATTCATGAACAAGATACATTACATCCATTTTAAGTTCTGGTTCATTTTTAACTTCACCCAAGTGACCTACATAACACATAGCCCACACTAAAGTTAAAAAAAAATAATGCTAAGGATAACAATCAATAAATTTATCTGTACAAATATATTTACATATATAAATTAATCCAAAACCATTTACATTATTATATGCATTAATCTTTTCTTTTAATTTCCTTTTCCATATCAGTGCCTTCATATAGAGCTTGTTTTTGCATGGCATTCTGGAGTCGACCCATATTAAACTTCTCCTTTGCAAAGTTGTATCTACAGAATGACCTGCAAAAATAAAGAGGTTTACATTAATTTTGATGTCATTAGCATATCACTCCCTCAAGTTTTTCTTAATTATCTTTCTCTATCTTTCATTCACTATTTCAATTTGTTTATAACAGTGTGGAAGTTATTTTTTTAATAAGTGTTGTTATTATCACTATTACAATTATTTTTATTACAGGATGTATGTATTATGATTACAATTGTTGTTGTTGGTTTTCAGAAGTGCTTGAGTCCTGATTTCTAGAGCTTTGAGGTCCTATTGTATGCAGAAATTTTATTCAGACGACATTTCAAGTAGGTACCATACACTGCTTTTTAGCTTTAGCTTTTATCCTTCAAAATGTTTGTGTGTGTGTGGGGGGGGGTCCTGTACCCACCTATCCCTTGGTCTTATAGCCACCTCTAAACTACAGAATATTGTGGACTGGGTGTCTATCATCCAGTAATTCAGGTTATAACAAAGGAAGGAGACTGGTTTAAGTGGCAGCAAAACCAAATAACAAATAATGTCTTCAGCAGTCTTGAAAACTGCAAACAATCAAACAGAAATTCAAGGGAATGAAAATTTTATTTAGGCATATACAGGAGTATATGACCAATGAAATTTGATTTCAAGATACAGTACAGGATATGCTAAAACTAGTCAAGAAAATTAATAAAAAGTAGAAATTTAATAGAAATAGGTGTACAGTACTTTAAAAGGTTTATACTGTACAGTACAAATAACTTACCAGTATCCTATTGTTACACAGCCATACACACCAAAAGCTAAGTGAGCTGAGCGTTGGACTCTTGACGTCAGCATGAAATTAATCAGACCAGCTGCAAGTCCAGAGCTGATACTGTAGAGGAATGTTTCACGGAAACAGGGGATCTGTGATAAGTTCCTGCCCAATAGCTTAGTCTGAAAATTAGATAAGAAGTTACTGTGAGCAAAGACTTGAGTAAGCTCACTTCTCTACTCAATATGTAATACAGCTGCTCAGTTTATTAAGAGCAAATGAATAGACTGATAAACAAAGATGAATTCATACCTAATTGCAAACAACATGGTTCCTTACTTATTCATGGCTCTCATGTTTCTCTAACAATGTACTGTATATACTCATGTCCTAGACAGTACACCTGTCCTAAAATATTAGACAGTACCCAAGGTAAAGGTTCCTCTATAGCAGGGATAGGGAAGCTGTGGCCCCAAAAGGTCTCAGGGTGGCCTGCCACCATACTCGAGTTCAATGTTATTCTCTTTTAAGGGGAAATATTCAGAGAGGCATAAAATTTTTCTGTAGAATTGGATGAAATTTAGAATATATATATATATATATATATATATATATATATATATATATATATATATATATATATATATATATATATATATATATATATATATATATATATATATATATATATATATATATATATTGTATAAGACTAACTTATAATAACACAACTGCATTGGGATGAAATTACAGGGTAGCGGTAATACCCACTAAATCTGCATAGATTAAATAGTACAGTATTAACATTGAAAGTAATAGGTAGCCCTGAAGAACTCTCATAATTTCAATCTGATCCTCCAACATCAAAAGTTCCCTCCACTCCTGCTGTACGATCAACTTTGTTTACTCTCTTTAAAAAAAAAAAAAAGATAAAAAGCCACTTGTTATATGGGATACTCCAAAAACATACTGTACCTACTGTATACTTTATAAACTCTTAAGTTTAATTTTATTATCTAAATATTATAGTTCAGTCCGGTACACACCTCTTTCTCGGGTTCTGCCATACTGAAGCTGTCTTGAGAATGAGATCCTTTTGAAACTCAGTTACTGTACTGTACTTGTTAATCTGAAAATGAAGTTATGGTTAGTTCTCTTTGTATCTGTATCACATTCCATAATTACATCCACACAATTTTTAAGAGTCAAAGCAGAGTGTGTGTGTGTGGTTATTTTACCAAAAAAGGTTAGGTTAATTATGCAAAACCTGCCAATAATGATGGTTCTAGTCAATTTCTTTCATGGTAAATGTCTTGGGGTAATACTGGGAGACAGCACTCCATGTTAACCAGCAACATAAGAATATTTTTCATGAGAAGAGACTTTTTTTTATTCCATGAAAATCCCATAATGTGTAGAGGATTAGAAATTTGTATGATATTGTTTTGCCAGTTTTCTCCATATACAGTAACACTATTCTACACCCACACACTACAATGCTATATCTCCACTGTTTACACCCAGGATATTTTATCGCTCGCTTCATCGACAGGAGCGCCTCCCCACAACTATTACATACCGGTACACTTGAAGAACCGGTTATCACATTTTTGTACATACTGTAACTGTATTACTTAAATTTTATTTTTTTATTTTAGCAATTTCAAGAATGTTGCTAATACTGTACAATGTTTTCATAATACTGGACAGTAAAGTACAGTATATGTGCGGTATATTATTTTGGCAATTTTCTCCTGAACAGAACTCTTGCACAGAGAAATGACTTGCCAGTTACTGCAATATTATATTATTTAACTGAGATAAAATGAGCCAACATAAACTATCTAACCTCAGGTGGGATAGAAAGTTAGGTAGGTTAAATCGGTATATTTTATTTCCAATATATATATATATATATATATTGGAAATAAAATAAACCGGTGCTATCAGAAAACGTTTATTGATTTCTTTTGTTTTTACTGACGTTGTTTTGGTCATTGTAGGTAGTATAGAAGGAGTGACAAATTTTAGTGATAAATAATTTGGTGAGAACACTGCTAAGTGATAATGCTGATCCTACAGTTTTTGCATGTTACTTGATTATACTTTATCATAATTTTATATGGTTGTATATAACTGTTTTGAATTAATATGTCAGGTCTTGTCATTCTTGCACCCTTCTGGAAATAATCCTGCGGACGCCCATGGTTATTTAACTCTTACCTCACTGTTTGTTTACGTGTTGGTGGCCGAGTGACGCATGTTAAGATTATATCACGAACCAACATTGTTACTTTTATCACTTATTTTTTTAAGATAAAATATCACAAATTCATAACAAAATTATTAAGAAATTAAACAAACAAATATTAAAAAATAGAAGTAGAATGATAGTTTACCTGCGTCTCATAATTACTACCAGAGGCCCACCTATCCCTGGTTGTGAGAAGGGTGCTGTTTAAAATGACCCAACATCGCGGGTTTCCTTCTGCACTTTTACTGAACCAATGAGGGACAAATATGGAACAATAGGGGGAATAAAGGTCTACTCAATTCCTTACCCCGCCAGAGAAGTAAATAAGAAAGTAAGATCAGTTCTAAATCGTGGGTATTTTTTTTTTGGGGGGGGGCCTTGTATATTAACAATAAGCAGGTATTTCTGTCAGTGCTCAGTCAGGAATATCGTAGGCTACCTATGTAAGTGTACAGTTTCTCTTCAATGATCTATCAATTTCTTTGAAAATGCGAGTGCCTCTTGAAGAATTTACGAGCCTATCAGGGGCGAAGACGAAAAGCGAGCATTACAAGTTTGGTCCATGGTGTGATCTTAACATTGATGACGACTAAAGGCCGATTGGCCAGAATATAAACCAAGGAATATAGAAGAAATAAATTAAATTTCCTGTGTTAGTTTCTTCCTGGCCTCCAATTGACGCGCCATTGATGGTGGATGCGACATCATAAGAACGTTTCAGTAGTACATGGGAAACTATTTAAAAAAAATGTTTATTCAAAAGCATTTTTATTTATTCTTATTCGTATATTGTATTTATTTGTGTTCTCACTAATCTTCAGGTGAGTAATTGGGGGAAGTAATCACATTTCAGGACGCAATTATTCTGCCAAGTTCTAAACTAGATATGCTAGGTCTCACTCTCCTCTAATATGTCATGGATGCCACACATCCACTTAATTGCTAAAGCTGTCTCCCAAAATCTGGGAATGCTGTACAGATGCTGTAGCTACTTCACTCCTGAGCAGTTGCTTCAAGTTTATAAGGGATTCATTCGTCCTAACTTGGAGTACTGCTCTCATATCTGGGGTGACTCTTCTCCTTTAGTTGATAATCTTTCTTCCCTTTCTCTTCGTCTCAATGTTGCTTCACTCTCTCTCTTTTACAGGTGCTTTAACAGGCAATGTTTGGTGGATTTGGCATCCTGTGTACCACCGTCTTGCACCGCAGTGCCCACCGTTTCTCTGTGGTTGTTGGGAACACTAGAATCACCCATTATAGTACAGTACCTCCTTCTTTCCTCACACAGCCAAACTGTGGAATGCTCTGCCTTCTGTGTTCCCATTCTCATATAATGTCTCTTTAAAAAGCTGTTTTTCCGGCATCTTCTTGGTGGAGGTTAATATACAGTGGTCCCTCGGTTAATGAACACAATTCGTTCCAGAAGGTCATTCGTTAATCGAAACCATTGTTTCAATGGGATTTGGGGTAATTGGTTCCAGCTCACCGACAATTGCATACAAACTAAAAATAAAGGCAGTAAAGTACACTTACTTTGAGGTGTGCATGTAGGGAGAAGAGAAGTCACCCCATGCTTCATGCCACCATTTCACCCATAAAACAACATAAATGTAGTGTTAGGACAGGCCAGGAATCCAATGCTCTGTTTGTTCATTTGAGGGATATATTGCTTTGACTGGGATGCCTCCTCCTCAATATTACCTTGTAATGCAATTGACAGTAGTAACATTATAGAATCCAGTCTCATTAAACATACCGAATCCGTCAACATGAATTTGAATAATGGTATGTACAAACTGGATAATTTCGTAATTAAGATGATTTGTAACAGGTGAGAAGGTTGGGTCATCTTACCCTCTGACCTGACTACGGACTGCTGCTGTGCTTATGAGGATTAGTAGGGTCACTGCCTAGTGATCAGACCATTGTGGACACTCACTGTACCCTAGGGACTTGATCTCACTCTCCTCTACTGTATATACAGTATATGCCTTATGTATTTCTCCTTTGTCTGTACTCACCCTCCTTGTGGTTATCAGCTATACCTGGATCACGCACACCTACAGTGATTTACTTGCATATATATATATATATATATATATATATATATTTTTTTTTTTTTTTTTTTTTGGGGGGGGGGATAAACATCAGGGTGTAAATGATGCAGTCGAGTCTGTTTGTGGGAAGAAATTAGAGGTTATAAAAGGAGGGGTACATGGGAGGATACAGTAATAAGAGGGGAATGGCAGGGGAGAGGAAAACAACTTTAGTATTACAGTACAGTACTGCAGTATATTAAAAGTGTACAGTGGAGGTATGACCTTGCAGGAAGCCTAAACAGAGTACTGTACATTTTATGTACTGTACTGTAAATAGAGTTTGTAGCCAAAAAAGTAAAATAATTTGCATACTTCCATATACCGGTAGGTTAATAAACACTTATTAGAAAGAAGATTTTATTAAGACATTTGACTAGTATGTACAAAAGTATTATAAAAAAGTTACATCTTTGGTGATGTGCCAAGTCAGACACTCAAACACTCGTAATGTCGAGCTGGTTGTGCGATGATTTTTTATTTATATTTTTTTGTAAATCCCCATATTCACAATCAACAAACATCTTGGTTTGATAAACTTACAGTTCTGTGGGATAATCCAAAACAGGGAAACTTTTTAGAAAGTCAACATTAAAATACTTTAAGGACAATCATGTAAAACTTTCATGATATGCTAAATTTTGTTCCCCAAAAATTTCAGTTCAATACAGCAAGATAAATAGCGTTAAAATTATCTTTGACATAACACACGTTTATTTCATTCAAAAAATAGTATTTTTTATGAGAAAAACTGTAAAATGATATATATGCTTAAATTTTACAATAAAGACAAAGCACAGTCATGGGGATGCTATCAGCTGTTAACTTCAGTTTCCTTCTTTTACTGTAACATTATGTACAATGGCACCATGCAGGTCCAATTCATTAGAACAACTAGAATCATTAGTATTATAGGTCATACATATGACATAAATACCCTGGGAAAACAAATATCCCAATACTTAAGTCAAACTTAGTTGAATCCCTCAGTGTATAGAAGATTTACATGGTATGTTTAAAGTATATACACTATACACAATAATAGCTTACAAACAGCAACTATATTTGTATCAATTCTAATGTACACAATTTACACTTGCACATTATGCCCTCACACTGCTCATTTTAAATAACATTCCATACACACAAATTATAAACTGTCGAGTCATGCCCTGGAAAAAGTTCCTCCATTATATTTTAAAAGAAATTTTACACCACTGGATATGATCTTTAAGTGTGTTAAATCAAATATACCAACAATATGGGAGATTGTTTTAGGTTACCTCCCTCATGTACACCACCAAATGCCAATTGCAAGATAAACAGCAGAGGTTTTACCCATACCTATAGCCCTTTAATCAGCATTATTGATAACTTGATAGGTAGGCTCTGCATGGCAGATAATGTGATAGAAATGGGATGAACTCAACACCTTACAATTTCATGGAAATGCAATGAGCATATCTTACATTCCCATACAGGAAAGGTCACTCGCAACAGAGCATCATAATTGATAATAAATTTTGTGTTGAATATTCATCCACCCTTTTGTGAGTTCAATTCTTAAACCTGTATGTAGAGAACTATGTAGAGGGATGGGCAAAACTTAACTGCTATCATAAAAAAATATCAAGGAAAAGTAAATTGGGGGAATACACCCTGAGCTGGAAGGAGATTAAGCTGAAACTTTTTACAATGAAACTCCCAGATACTTGTCTTAGTTTGTGCACGTCCACAGACAGGCACTTCAGTAAAATGTTTACATTTTTGTACTGGTCACACATTCTTTTTCTCAGTGCAAGCAAGCAGTAACTGCTTCACTTCAGGGATTGCTAAACCTATATCAAAAAATCTTCAGTAAATATTTTGAGAGTCTCTGACAGGTCTTGAGCACCTGAAGATGTGAGATGGTTGAAATAATTGGAGAAGATTATGCTCTAAATGTGGGCCATAGACATGCATGATGTACATAGAAAAATAAGAAATTAAATTGGCTTAAGTAATATTCATATCATAGTAAACTTTTCTGAAGGTTCTAGTCATGTATAGTTTGATTAAATAACTGTTCACTTTCCAAGATGAACAATTGTGACATCTTTCAATAAATTACTGTACCATCCTATACACAAATAAATGGGGAGTTAAAATTTTTCACAGGCAACATAAGTGATTTTTTTCTAAAGTAAGATGTACATCCAATATTTTCTTACGATAAGGTAGTGTGGCTTGATACAAGTAAACAATTATATTTTCCTTCATTACCAACTAATTTTTTATACCTTCATGCTAATAACCTTAATACTATTCCTTTCACCAATGTGGTGTACAAGTATCTTGATTAATAGTTAGATGGTAGGGGGGATTATTTATTCACATTCTATTAAAAATTCCTCTGCCTGTTGCTAGGTAAATGGTAAGGCTTAGAATTTGAAAACACCATACAGTATAGTAATACACACTGCCTTTGATTCTGTAATAGTATTGTATCTTAGGACCAAAGTAAACTCACTGTACCAACACTTAACAATTGAGGAAAAAGTTTTTTAAATCAGATTTCTGGGAATATGATTCTACAACATAATGCAAGACAGAACACTTAACTGTATACAGATATTAATACATAAATGTCAGTTTTAATATTAATGTCCTTTAATTCATTACACTACTTATGTAGAGTTACATGATAATCACAAACTGTAATTAGAAAAATGTAATTCTACCACTTTGCAATGAGTAGTATACTGTATACTAATCAGCATTTAGTGTACAATCCTGGAGCAAACTGAATTTCATATCCCTTCCAAACTAAACTTTTCAATGTGTACATTAATATTAACTGGATACTCAGGCATACTAATGTATATGGGAAGAAAGCCCAGGGGTGGTGTGCTTGATTTGTTTTAACATATACAAATGCATAAAAACACTGATACAAGTTTTTATTTAAGATATTTAACAGAGCCATTTCATAGATTACTTTACCATTTCTCAAGGCTGAAAATCGCATTTTTGTGGATTTGCACAAACTAATAATTCAAATTATAAAAAAAAATTATTTCGAAAAAAAAAAAAAAAGGATTCCTCTATGCAAAGTGCAAGATTCTTCGCTTCAGTGATAATTGCAATAACTCCCAACAATCATAACAACAGGGACCCCAGTTCATGCTTAGGAGATACACCAGGTATAAACATAGTTAAGCATATAATTTAAAATCCCAAAGAAGATCAATCCTTTACTACCACAAATTAAAGTCGAATCCAGCATGACGGATACACTTTGGCTTCAGCACCGTTCTTAATTATTTTTAAAAGAAATAATGTGTCTGAAGGTGGGTGTACTGTATATCCCTATGGCTTGATTAGTTCAGGCAATCCATTTCTGTAATACCTGAAGATATTGGATATGTACTTCTCCATATCAAATTCATTTAGAAAAAAATTCTTAAATTTAAATATCTCACAAAGTTTGTATCTTACTAAAAAGCCGATATAAAATCTTTTCCGCTATCTCCTAACAGAAGTTAACCAAGATCTTTCATTTCCTTTCTAAATTTATTCTCGAGTGTAAGTCCCCCCCCCCTCCCCCTTCATTTGTGAACACGAACAAATTTGCCACCATTTTGTTTTTATCACATACATCTATCACACATGTGAAAAAATGCTAACAGGCATTATACCTCTAATTCCTTCATCTTTTTATGTTTTAGCTTAAGATATAAAAGGCTACTAGGATGTTTAAGTCATATACTCTTATTTTATCTTAGTCTGACAATCTTATGCCTGTGGTATTCATAGACAGTTATTGCCACCACCTGCTGTACCAATCCTGTACTCATTTGAAAATATCATATTTGAAGAAAATAAAAATATGCTGTACAAGTAGTTGAAAAACTTTTAAACACATAAGACAATATACTCAAACTTGCCAAGTTACAAGTGAAAACGTCACAGGACATTAACTTGGAGAGATAATCTATAAACAGATAAACACTAAATAATAACATGAGCCTTGATTACTTAAAGGCATTTTCAGAGCAATTTTACCGATTGTTCGATGTTACTTTTTTTTCAAGAACATGATCATCTCCATAAGGAAGAGTCCTTTTCAGTATTGCTCAGTCTCAAACATAATATATTTCATTATACTAATGAAAACTTTCCATTTTGGAAATTTTACCGGTCACTGAAGTTTTGACCTGTATACTGTACTTTAATTTGATTACAAGATAGCATCTCTCCTCGCGTACATCTTAAAAAATCTGGGTACAAAAAGACAACACAATTATGTCTTGTTTACTCCTGTCCTTCTTTCCTTGTATGCAAGAGAAACTAAACCAATAATAAAAGAAACTTTCTAATTAATGTTTTATTTTTATATTTTTATTTTTTATTTATTTTTTTATTTATTTTTTAATGCTTACCTATCACATGATTCTATGAGTGGAGTAAAAGGAGTGGTTCCTATACACATAGCCACTTTTGATATATTTCTCTTACTGAGCTCCACATTATTCTAATTTTGAAATTGGTGAAAAATTTCATGATTGGCACCTAAACAGTAAATATTTTGTACCTTAGTCCATCGCACCTAAAATGCACTATGTTGTTCTACATCATGTCATACTGTGGCCAAATACACACCTCTGCCTCTACTGGAATGGTAATAATTATTGAGTCCCTTAATATTTGTTATTTCCACATTTCACAAAGGCCAATGTGTGTAGTGTGTTTCAGGTCAAATTATCATTTTCACAATAATATGTATACACTGCAGACACTTGCAAAAAATAATGTGCTTCAGAATTCGGTGGAAAACCTTGAACCATGTTGAGTTTATATATATAGTTCTCATCAACTGATATGTGCACCATTCCCAAAGAAAAGAGAAGGCTTATGTAAAATAGAAATTTTCACTGTCTGTTCATCAGTCACTATCAGACTCAAATTTCTCTCACATCAATAATCAGCACTCGCACAAAAGCACTCGCAGCACCTAATAGCTATGGGAGGACCCTGCCTCCAAGTATTTGTGGGCATAGTTTTCATGTATACAAAACTGACAGTCTGCCCTCTGCATCTTTGTTACTTTCCAGTGTTCACTTTCTAAATAGTAAAAACATTTAAAGTGAAACTTCATAACATGCCCCCACAGGTCCTGTTATTTTACTCTTTTTTTTCACGAAATGACTAACACAAACAATTATAGTCACTTAAGACAAGTGATCATACCTTGATTTTTGTGACTGGCATTTCTTCTTTTATCTTGATACACATAGTTTAGAATACAGTCACTGATATGTTTTGTACAGACAAAATTCAGTCTGATTCAGACCCATCATCTTCAAAGCCTGTGAGATCAACCTCAACTAATTTTCCATTATGGAGGGCATACTCCAGCAGCGCTAGATGACAGAACACATATTGATCAGGCATCTGGATTGAGTATGCTCGTTGGGACCGAATCTTTTCCACAGTCCCCTTCACTTCGATTGTTCCTACTTCTTCTAAACGACGAATACAAATATCAAGGGTGCAGAACGTGCCTGTTGAAATCATACAGTACAATTAATAATGTGCTTTCAGAATAATAACACAATTTTCATAAACAAGTTTTCAAAGGATAACTTTAATACTGTATAAAAAACTTCCAAATATGTCAAGGAAAAACAATAAACTGATACAATGTACTCTGTACCAGGTAGCTTGTAACCCTTTAAACTGAGCAACATTAAGGAAACTATTTCCTAACTCTTTCTGCACAATACAAGATTAATCATATATACTGTACTACACTTATTGAAATCCTTCTTAGCAGCAAGAAACAAATAAATTACAGTTGTAACTAAATAATGTACAAGAGATTAAGCAACATAACTTAGATATTATATAGTACAGTATACAGTAGTAACAGTATCAATAAAAAATATGAAGAGCCTAAAAAAGCAAAAGTAAGGCCCATAGGCTTGTAAAGGGCAGTGTTGATATAACAACCTGTATAAATTACTAAGCATTCTGTATAGCACAGTTCGTCATTCGCTCATTTTACTAAAAATAGATTTGAGACGACGTGGCAACAGCACAGCAACAACGTCACAGCAAAGGACAAACATCTCAATAGAAATATCTAGTTCATATGCTGACAGTTGTTATATTTCAGTGTATTTTGTTCTACTTCTTTTAATGAGTAAGATAATACAGTAATTGTAGCAGTGGTCATTTGAATCTATTAACGAGGGTAAGCGGTAAACAATACTTTGTTTGTCCTCCGCCCTACTACCACGTGGTCACCCAGAAGCTCCACCCACAACAGTAACTTCAATGACAAACGGTGTTATACAAGGAGGTAGTGCAATGTGGTCAGCACTACGGTTCTAGGACAACTGTCCCCTGGACAATTGCCCCACTTTGCCAGTAAATAACTGGCACAAAATATGGAACTAACCTAACTTTAACTTCACCTAACCTAACCTAACCTATCCTAACTTTAACCTAACCTGACCAATTTCGAAATATTAAATATGACTGATCCAAATTTTTTTTCACTTAACCATGATTTTGTTATCAATGTTTTTCTAATTACAGATTTGTAGTGTTAAAAAAAGTATGAGTTGTGCATTTTGTGTATATAATTATTACTATAAATAAAACATGAAAATAAGGCATTAATTCTTAGTGTTCCATGTTTTGTCCCAGTTATTCACTGGCAATGGGGGGCGGGGCAATTGTCCAGTGGGCAGTTGTCCTATGGGGGGGGCAATTGTCCGGGGCAAATGTCCAGGGGGCAGTTGTCCTGATACCCAGCACTACACTTGACCACCTTCACTTTCCCAGCTGTAAAGTTAGGCACCCATTTACAGCTGGGTGACCTGAGGGTGCCTTGAGCATAAAACAGCAAACCTTAGTACAAGTGATGAGCACTTTAGCCATTCAGATGACACAACCTCTATGAATAGCCTTGTATATCATTAAAAATACAACTAGCATTACATATAGGTAAAGAACATACCTGTTCTCCCAATCCCTGCAGAACAATGAACAACTATAGGTGGCCCCAAAGGATGACCAGTCCAAGAACTTTCTAGAGCAGTAGTTAGACGTGCCTGTGATTCCCGAACATGGTTCAAGAATTCTAGCATGGCCATGGCTGAATCGGGAACACCATAGTCCGGCCATGATGTAAACTGCATATGCTCAACTTTTCTTTCCTCATTGGACTGCAATATTTAAGGGGAACCTTATTATGAAAATTATAAGAAAAATCTACTAGGAATGTAAAAATAAAATGAGATACATTTCAGGAAAACAAAAAATAGTAATTATAATATCAAGTGTACTGGTTGCTATTTCAGGAATGTGAAATTTGGTTTTGATAAAAGAGGTTTAGGTAAATTGAAAACAATGGAGTTTTAGAGGTATGAGTTGAAATAAATAAATACAGCAGGATAAAATGAAATTCAAAGTGACATTCTCTTCAGTTGAAAGCACAATCAAAACAACTAAAGATGTCAGATTATTGTTTTTACGTTTCTTTTCATGCGAGACTAATTTCCAAAGCTGACATTCACAAAACAGCATCCTTCCAATTCCACTGAAAAGGTGGCTTTTTACTTACCCTGTTATCTCGAATTGTGATTGTTGAGACAGTATAGTCGCGGTAATTGTAGACATGTGTATTAGTAATAGTAAAATGAGAGTGAGAAACTACTCCATCCTGGTCCACGGGCCAGTACTGCCCACACTTGGTCCTGCCCCTCTCTACTGCCCGGGTTGTCATGACAATAACACACACTCGCTGCTCCCAGATCATCCGCCAGAAATCCCCAAAGGTTCCCGGCAAGGGACCTTGTTAGGATAAAGCAAAGAATACGCTTTAGGACAGAAATTAAAAAAATAATTTCAAATGCTAACATTCTGTACTGTCCATACAGAATAACAATAAAGTCATGAACACATTTTAATCAGTAACCACTCTTTATAAATAATGTCTGCTGTTGTATTTTTAGGTGACATCAAGGACTAAACTTTGGAAAATTGAACCCCAGCATCAAATTAAATATGTAAAAATGGAGTGTGGAACACAGAACCGCTACTGCAGAGCTTTATTTGGCCAATCACTACTCGGTTACAGCTGCTCAAAGACATTCTTGTGCAAAATTTGGTATACGGACATGTCCCACACAGAATTCAATAGTATTGCACTATGCTCACAGAACGACGGGCAGTGTAGCAGATGTGAAAAAAAAAGTGAGTGAGAGAAGCAGTCCCATTGAGTCCAAAGAAGTCTCAAGAGCTGAGCATGAACAGGGAAAGTATGCATACAATTGCGAAGAAGGATCTTAATCTGTACACCTACAAAACTCAAGTGTCCCAGCAGTTGAAACCAAAAGACCATCAAATTTGTTGAAATAAAGAAACAAAATAAGTCGGATTTCTTCTGAAACACTTCAGCAAGTTATGGATAACTTTTTCTTCCGCAGCCGTGAATGTAGAGTGTGTATACGCACTCATGGAAGTTACAGTAAAAGCCCCATAATTCGAAATAATAAGGGTTCTAGCCCTTATGAATTATGAGATTTTATTAAATATGAGAGACCTCCCAAGGGGAAAAAACAAAAACAAAATAACAGTACTTTTACATTATCTTTCCCAATCAAAATTTAAAGATTTCCAAGTACAGTACTAGATATAGGTGCTTGGTCCTGGGTTATCAGACATAATGACTTAAACACTTGATAATGCTGCAAAAACAAGTGGGGAAAAAGCATAATATTTAAAAAAATTACCAAATATTACGAATTTGTAATATACGTACTTCGCAACGGCAAAATATTACGAATTATGGGTGATTTCGTATTTGGGGGTTAAAATTATGGGGAATTTACTGTACCTGAAATCAGTCATTTTCAAAAAAATGAAGAAGTGTGAATTTCACCAACATTTCCATGCTGTGTTCTTCTAAATACTTGGTATCCTGAAGTAATACTATCCAAATACAGTCAACCCTCGCTTTACGCGGTCCCACTTTACGCGTTTCCACGTTTACGCGGTACCCTGCCGAACACGGAATGCTCACTTTCCGCGGTGTGTGTACCCTTTTACGCGGAGAGCGGCGCGAGCAGGGTGCGCACAAGGTCGCCCAGTCATCAAAACATTACCGAGTTCTTCACCCGCCACCCACCACAACCGGCCCAAGTCAGTGATAGTGATAATGATAGTGAGGATATGGACTTTGAGGGGTTTGACAAAGAGGCCCTGCAAGCCTCTGTGGTGGATAGTGATACAATTGATACAAGTGATACAGGTGAGGGCCAATAATCTTCCCTCTGCCTCGGAACCAACCCCCCATCCCCATGTGCCCAGCCATCTTTTCTACTAATGTAAGTGTTAAAAAACCTAATATTATTGATATTTCTCTTAATTATTAATTGTGTGTGTATACCATCATAAAATTAAGAAGTTATTTTTACTACAACGTAGGTATTGTGTCAAGTGGAGTTTGGGGGTCGGCCCAGTCTCTATTTCAATTAATCCCATATGTTATGTTGTTCACTTTACGCGGGCCGCCGTGGGTTCAATTGACCGCGTAAAGTGAGGGTTCACTGTAAAACAATTACTGCAATGAACAAATAAATGTGTCCATGAATTAATTGTCACCCTATATTTAGTACTATAAACTACAAACTACCTCCCAAATAAAGGCTCATGGCCCCAAATTGTAAATTTTCTCTTTTTCTAGGCTGAATTTTGTCATTAAACTTTGTTGTCAAATACTGTAATGCAAGGGTCAGAATGTGAAGATTTGAACTATAATAAGCTTTGTGCTGAGGTAAGGCTGATGAAAATAACAACACAACAATGGGCAAAGTGATCCCTAGATGTCTCATGAAACAGGCGATAAAAATTACCTTCACCCTAATTCTTAAGCAATGGGCCACAGAGTAAGAATTCAGAATTCCATATTTTGTTTGTGGCCTAAAAAAAACCACTGTCCCTACTTTTGGTAAAATTTTAAAAGGCAATGTGTTAACTTTGACCATGATCCATCCCACTTTTCTTGGTATGCCCCAGATAGTGCCTTTCTTCTATACCTTGTCCCACTCTTAACATAATTACTGTATAGGAGTGATTTAATAAACTCAAACATGATGTGGTAAATTATATGTAATAGAAGTACGATGTGTTCAATCCAAGTTCTGGTGAAGTTCATTTCTTCCTTTATGCAAGTTTCAGTCAATGGATGGATAAGCATAATTTAAGTCATCATTGCAAAGATTAATGAGCATGAACTATAATACAAAGAAAAGGCTACACTAATATTACGTATTTACTATTAGTAATCACAAAGTACATGTATTACCTTGGGTAGAAATGAAGGCATTCTTTTGTTTATAGCCATCAACATAGTTTGCATTGATGTAATCTGTATGACAGTCGTCGTCCTCTGCCGAAAGCACCACCCGAGAATTGTCAAAACATAGCACATCCGTGTACCGATTTTTTATTTGATTCCATCTTTTCCTGTAGAAAAGAGAAAACTAGTCATTGTTTGCTTTTTCTCTCACTCTTGCAAGCTCTTTCTCAATATTTTGCAGGATGACTGAAACCAAATGCAAACACAGGATTATTTCATTCATTCACTCTCCACCTGCAAAGATGTGGTCTACTACACATGTGGTTAGACAGCCACAGAGGAAAAAGTATTCAAATATTCAAATACAATAAAGTATTGATCCACCAACAATTTCAATCTTTCTATTATAAACAAAAGTAGAAATCATTAAAGAAATGGCCACTTAAATATAAAGTAATACTGTACTGATAAACAGTTTATATAAGCAGAGAAGGGAGAAAGAAATGTTAGTAATGAAGGGACAAAATGCAGTGTTTCTGATCTCAGCAAGTGGATGTGTCATCAAATGGAACAATGAGTAATGAACTGAACCACAGGGTGTGACCAATGAAAAAGTATACTTAGAAACATAAGGAGAAAAAGAGCTGTATAAAAAGGAAGCAAAAAATTGTATGTACAAAGGAACAGTCGATCTAAATTAATATACAGTATGGGTGTAAATTACGGTCTTTGGATACATGAAGGAGCAAATCAGTAGAAACACAAATGACACGTTTCAGTGTACGATGTAGGGTGTAAAGGTTACTGAAACTAATACTAATAGGGAAAATGTGGAAGAGCTGTACTGCATAAAAGAAATGTAAAATAAAAAAACAACTTAGTATATACCTTGAATTTTCAAAGGTGCCATCTGGGGGCCGACTTTTTATCTGTGCGTAGTCATGATAAAGTCCTTGCCGTCCCTTGTCTCGCAAGTGGCGTACAAATTCCTCTAGCGTAAAGCCTCGTCCGTCATCATAGTGGAGACTGTCATCATCACTAAACCCACTACTTCCACTGCTTGGTGGGGCCAGTGGTGATCCTCTACCTAAGGATGCAAATGTTAAGTCTTTATTCAGTGTCCATCGAAATCTTGGCTTTACCAATTAGCAATCAATCTACATCTATTTTCTGTTACAGGTACTACTGTACTTAGTAAAGCTGGGTAGCTCACTACATACACCACATTCATCCTAATTACTTCTTACTCTGACATTCTTGATAATGTGCATTATATGATCTTACACAAGTTTCCCTTACCATGCAACGTAACCTGTAGTAATATCCATATTTTTCACTGAAGTTAAACCAAAATAATGTCTATCCCTTCATTTACAGAGACTTGTAAGTATAGAACATTAATCTGAATCTTAAAAAGCAGTCTGTTGTAGATAATAAAGCACTAACATTATTATTACCAACAAACCGACCCACATTCCAGCTGGATTTGCTCAACCATCAAACCTGTCTCTTGAGTTGCTTACAAAATATGTTCAGCATCATGCTGTTCCTTGAACAAACCTCATCAATCTATACATCTAAAATCACCTACAGTACTGCTAAAATGAATCTATGGACATTAATATCTTAAAACATACATTGAACTGCTTACGTATTCTTCATCGTGGATATTATCTCACATCACAATATCAACACAATTATATTTGTATTTTTCACTTTTGGGGACCTAAAATATAATTTAGTGTTAGTATAAGTTGGTGTACAACTTTGGCTAAAATCAACCACTAGAGTTTTCACTTGTGAACTTGAGGCAAACACTTTCCTCTTGAGATACAGCAAATTTTTAAATACAATACAGGACATAGTACAGTAAAACAAAACCCAAGGAGCTAACTCAGTTAAGAGTTCCTTTAACAAAATCTATCCAACTGTAGTTCATATTTCTAAGAACACTAAGCACTTCTTACCTTGAAGGATTCCACCATACAGGTATTCCATTGAATATGAAGTACTGTAGCTAATAACTACCATTATAATATTTAAATATTACTTATGAGTATATTTGGCTTGAATACATACCACTAATTCGGTCCGTGTCATGTAAGACATGACCATTGAGGTGTGCCGTGTCTTGTATTTCTGGCTCAGGAGAACACTCCCCTTTTAAAGATGGACTTAAATCTTTCTCTCCTTCTTTCCGTTTCTCCTCATTTGTCGGGTCTTCATCCTCTGTACCATTAAGGCCAGAGAGCCTCCCATCCTCCTCTCTAACGTGTCCCTCTTCAAGGTCATCCTCGTCATTACTGTCATGGGAGAAACTCTTCTCACAACAGCTTACTTCATCTTCACTAAACTCACACAGCTGTAAATGGCAAGAGATATTATTAACAACATTAGAATCTGTATTTACATTAAGTTTCTCTAATAGTTCTCAGTTTTATAATGTACAGTGTAAGCTTTTTCAATTTACATGGTAGATATTGCAGCTGAAGAGATTTCAGAATTGCAGCAAATCACACGTTCATTTTGAACGACTTACTGTTACCTGCTCCACTGAACTAGAAGGGTCATGATCTCCAGTTGGAACCATGGTGGTACTATTGTTGTCACAGTCTGCTGAAGGGTTGTGTCCAGACTGGAATGTGTGTGGTGGAGCTGACTCACACACGCTTGACGGGTCTCTGTTGGTCATGGAGGTACTGCACCGAAGGAGCCAAGCGTTATGGTCCACACTGAGGTCTCCACCCAAATCCCTTGGCAAACACTTCCCTGATATGTGGTTTACAAGCTGCAAGGGAAAAAATATCATCAACTCTTTTGTGTAATGTAAAAGAACAAAGGTATGAACCCTTTTATGAAAATGAACATCAACAAAATCCACCAGTTCAAAGTTACACACAAGTTCACAACAAACAGAGATGTTTTTAATTTCACTGGTTCTCTCTTTGATCACATTCAAATTACAGCCCATTTAATGGATTGACTCACTCTGTAGTCTATTATGCACAAATTTAAATAGTTCAGTCATAAACAAGATTCATTACAGTACTAACCTCTGGCAGTGATACTGTGTAAACACGATCTCGTAACTTTTCTCTGACGAAGAGTCGTAGTACTTTGAATGGTGCCTTAAACCAAAGTGGTGCTGTAACTATTAATACTTTCTTCAAACGGGCTGGGTACCCACCCTGAAAGGAAAACATCACAAAAATCTTTTTAAAAATGTGCAGTGTGAACATGACCTTTGATTCACAGAACTGATCATTAGCAGCGATAGTGGATAGTGTGTCCATTGTCAGGAACATTGAGCAAGTAACAGAGAGAAAGAGAAGAAAAAAGATAACATTCAAGTCAAAGTTGTTCTTCCTTTACTGTAAAACTAAAATGATAATGTGAAGACATTACAAACTCATTATTCTTATGATGATGTTTTAATTATGTTAATAAAACTGGATACAGTACTGGTACATCATTACAGTAAAAAATGTGGCCAACTTCACTGAATGAAAAAGATTTACTCACTGAGGAGTTGGTCAATCACTCAGGAAAAAACATTTAGTGGACCCCCCAAGCTGACTTTATTTCCACCATCTTTGTCCATATAATTTCCATACAAATACTTGTAACTAATTTTGCCATTGGATAAACATGGTCCTCTTATATTCTTTTGTATCAATTCACCAAAATTACAAAAATAAATAAAAACTAACCTTTAACAATGTAAGAATCTTTTGTGACAGTTGATAGTCAAAATTTTGATATGCAGATTCGCTCATATCATATATAAACACCAGTCCACATCTCTGTGTCTCTATGGACTCAAGAGCAGCATCCAACTGGTACACAACTCCCTGGAGTGTGGTCTGTTGGGTGGTTGCTCGTGGGTCGTGTAAACGGGCAGTAAATACAGCTATGGCAGCACCTGATTCGTCACGACATGGCTGCAAAAGAACATCAATAAATTTTTTGACATGACACAGTACAGCTACAATAAATTCTCTAACAATGAATTTATGTAGAGTAATAAGATACGGACGTGGCATGGGAGAGTATAATCACTTAAAATTATAAGTAATTAGCAAATAAATGATAGGAAATGTTGACATGTAAACTTGGCCTAAATATCAGTGGTAAGATGCTATTTTCACCTCAACCCATTGTCTTTCTCAAGTATGAACGGAAGGATACAGTAAGTATTTTCCCCATTTGCACTCGCTTGTTTTCACATACACTCCGTACTGCACTGTATTGTAAAACTGTAAATTATCGTAACCCTACAGTAACATTTATAAACAAAGGTTTACATATTAAAAAAAATGATGAGATAAACCAAGTGACAGATAGACCAGGTACCTGTAGCTACTTACAAGAATGGTGAATTTTCCAGTGCTAAGTTCAGTCCGGAGAGGATCACTGGTTGGATTAAGATTGACAAGCCCCTCTCTGTGTCTTGTGGCCTCGTGTTGTTCATATAAACTCACAGCTCTAGAAAATAAATAATAAATAAAATAAATAATTAATTAATCATCAAATAAAAAAAATATATACTGTATATAACAATCACCATTTTCTTAAATTGCACAAATGAAATAACAATTTTGTAAAATACAAATCAATTGAAAAAATTATACATATAATTCTAAATACAGTAATGAACTAATTGATTAAAAAATATGGCAGATTACACAGTTAAAAACAGTGACAAAAATGGCTGGTCTTTAGCTTTATCTGTTCTCCAGTCTTGAAGGAAAGTTTAGTTGACTTTTGACTCATAAATTCAAACATTCCAAATACCTAATGACAATCAAAGTAAAAAAAAAATAATTAAAAAGTTTACCTACCCATCTGGATTAATAGTGATTTTAACAAATTGTCATTCTTCCTTCTAAGTTCAAAGAATATTTTGGATACAGCTGGTCTAAATGTTCTCACACAGAGTAAATAACTTTGGGCCAAAATAACACAATTCACTCAGTAAAAGGTTGTTAAAACCATTTGTACTGAATTTAGCATGACATATCCTCTCCAGAGAGTTGTCCTTCACACTAATTCTTGTATCCCTAAAAGTCTATCTTGCAGCCATATACCTATACAGTATTGTACTGTACTGTACTAGCTTTCCTTCCTCGAGTCATTTCTATCTGGTGACAAATACTGCCAAAACAGTGCAAGTCTGTTTCTCTCAGAAATAGCTAATACAGTAAAGCTCATGGCATATCTTGACTACCGTAATGTGGCCAGGAATAAGAGCTGTGACACTGAGGAAAATATTACTGGGGAAGTGTTATAGATGTTTTTGGCTTACAATTACCAGTAGCAGCTTTTGCACTGCGTTTCCACTTTAAGAATACAGTACAGTACTGCATAAAACATACCTGGTAACATCAAACTTCCTTGCCATAAGAAACTTGACAGCAGTGTTCCATGACAGAGGCCCCACGTTCCGGGAACGTCGCAGCTCATTCACTTGCTCCACAAACTCTTTCGTCGCCTGTGAATTAAGAAAGAAGATTTTCAAACAATAGAAATAAAGAATGAAAAAAGGAAATAAAAAAGCATTGAAACCAATATTATGACTGAGATAAATGGAGCATGCAATTACTGATATTCAAGTAAATACAGTAATCGAACTTGAGACATGTAATGCATACATACAATATAAATAAAAAAAATTCTTGGGCCAATTACAAAATAACATGCTCATGTAAAAGAACAAACTTGTTTCAACACAACTCATTCCTGCATGATGCATAAATACACATGAGCAAACATTGTTAAAATATGTTACACAATCTATCGTCAGTAAGGTATGCTGTACTGTACAGTGATCCCTCGGTTAACGAAATTTCGGTTAACGAATTTACCTTCCTTAAGAATCTTCAACTCGATTAACGAACAAAATTTCGGTTAACGAAATCCTTACGAAATCGTGCCAACATGTTTTCGCCCGCTCACCAGCTGGGGTATTAGTCCGCCAATACAGTAATCGGTTTTAGGGCTTAAATTCGTTACCATTTGAGTAAATATCAAGAAGGTTGTACTATTCAATAATTTTCCATGTCTTATATTAAAATTTTTAGTCATTTTAACAATTATTTAACATAATTGAAGTACAGGGAACTAGTTTTTAGCACGCCAAACAGCCACTGACTCACCCAGAATGGCGTCAGTTTGTGTCTCTGCTCAGTGGAGGAAGCATCTTGCTCGAGACTCTCTTTTAAAATAAACTATTTTTACGTTTTTACAGTCCAATTATTGGTCATTCTAAAATTTATTTTACAAATTGACAATATATAGTGCAGTGCAGTGTTGATTTAAAGTAAATAATCTTGAATTACACCAAGTGAACTTAAAATTTTATGGGTGAAATGGTGGCATGAAGCATGGGGTGACTTCTCCTCCACCCCCACTTCTAATTCCCATCATCATCATCATCATCAACCAGGAGCCTTCCACGTGCACACCTCAAAGTATGTGTACTTTACTACATTTATTTTTAGTTTGTATGCAATTGTCAGTGAGCTAGAACCAATTACCCAAAATCCCATTGAAACAATGGTTTCGGTTAACAAAATTTTTGGTTAACGAACGACCTTCTGGAACGAACTGTGTTCGTTAACTGAGGGACCACGGAATATGCCATGACCAGATTCCCTAGGATGTAAGGAAATATCCAAAATGCAAACTATTCCAAAATCTCAGGTGTAAATTTACCTTAAAAACAGAAAAAAGGTTATGTTAATACTGTATTTGAAACTGAAAACTGTTAATCTTAATTGTATTGTACAGTACTGTATAAAAATAAAAATCTTTATCCGGTAAAGTACAGTACTGTACAGTACAGTAATTAAAAGCTGTAAATATATACAACTACTGTACTGTACTATGCAAAGCTATTACTGTACCTCTAATTCTGGAAAGTTTTCCAGCAGAATCACTAAACACCGTCTCTTGTAGCAGAAACAGGCGTAAAATGTTAGAAAACAGTTATCAGAAATTACATGTAGAATTGTGAAATCCACTACCTGGTGTTACAGCTGTGTTTTAAGTACCTCAGTGTAACTGTAAAACTGTATAGTTTAACACAAATGAAAATATTAAGTTTAAATCCATTTATTCTGGCATTTTATACTGTTTTCTGCATTAAGAAAGTGTTTAGTTATTCTATAGGAAAGTCTTGGCAAATTTTGGGGTTATAGCTTAGCACAGTAACTCGAAACATATAGTACTGTATATTAGAGTACAGTACTCTGTCATTACTTTTCCTATCATAAGTACTGTATGTACCAGGTAAATGTAAAATCCACATTTAAAACCCTTTGCGGCTATAGGATCCATGATTTTCTAGAAATAAAAGAAATGTAAAATACTGTACTGTACACTTAATGAGACAATTTATTTCCATGTATATACTGTACAGTACTGTACTGATATTGCTCCTAACTGTGATTTGAATGTCACATTGAAGACTTGGTTTCAAGATAATATTGCACACCTGTCGTGATATTTTCATCTTTCTCACCTGATGATGGGCGCCTACAGTGAGCCATGAAAGGAGCAATCAGGCAACTTCCCTTTTAATTTACAATTCAAATTACCATTGTTTATGATTCAATGTGATCAAGCTAAAATATGTACAGTAGGGCCAATTAAAAATTTCCCATTACTATCTGAATTATATGTTACACTAAAATATTATTGCATTTGAAGGTTTAATCATTAAAATGCGCTATTTGAAAACTAAATGAAACTACAGTACTAATATTATTTTTTCTTTCATCACTATTACAGTAATACACTATGTAAATAAAAGTAAATAACTGCAACAAATCATTAATGTAATAACTCAGGAGGTAAATTATGTACTGCTTATTGTGACAGTGTACAGTACAGGTGTATTGATGTGTTTGTTTGGGTGTAATTATCAAAACACATACAGTATATAAACTATTTGCAATGTGTAGATATAAAATGTCAGATAATACTGTATTGTATTCTCAGTTATGTATGGTATGGGTGTGAAACATTATCATAACTGATTTTACTATACATATACTGTACCCTGTATAAGGTTCTAACATTACAGATTATAATACCATAGGTGAACTTGTTTATTATACATTCATATATAGTACAGTGTATATATGTGTGTGTGTGTGTGTGTGTTGAGATACACTCCTGGTAAACAATGGTGAATGATACGAGTGTTTGGTAATGTTTTATCAACAGACTTGCTATTTCAAGGACCTGAAACCTAACCAAAGCTGCAACCTACCGTAATCTGAGCCAAACGCCCCCCCTAATCTAACCTGAGCCTATCCTCAGATCACTTGGTTGTCTACATGGACGTCTATTGTACTGTGCTTGATGAAAACTAACATCAGTTAACCTTCAGTACTCTTAAGAACCAACAATACATACTGTGTACAGTACTTGCATAGTACTTATACAGTACAGTAATACAAAGAGTAGATCCACGTTTTTTATTATATATATTTTTGTTCATACGTTTATTTGGTGAATTATGGTGTTGTTCTCTTTAGATTAGGAACTACATTAGGTACATAAATGTGAATGGTTGTGCATATACTGTACTGTACCAGTATGTGATAATAAAGGATATATATTTGTGGTAAAATTAAGAGAGAGAGTTAATTGTAGGGAATAATTTTTGAGTCTGATTAATCTTTAAACGCCCGGAAGGCGCTTACATTACCCAACAATGGCAACATTTTACTCTTACTAGAATCATCAAAGTGGGCCTATCTTGGTACATAGCCTTCAACTGTGACCTGGACGTCTGACCTTTTGCTGTTAAATTGACCAATGACATACAGTACCTGGATTTACTATCCAGCATCTTGTTTAATGAACTTTTATTAAAACAGCTCTAATCAAAACAAGTTTGCTACAACTACATATTGACCTTCAGCCAGATTTTTTGCAGATTGCCCACGAGGGGGCTAGTTTATTGGACACCCCCTTACATCCTGTGCAAGGTGAAACACAGAAGCGTTTACAGTGCCCAACTGGAAAGCATGCGGAGTTCATGCTTGCCAGCCATGTCAGTGACCTCTAATTTTCAGCTATGACCTTGATCTTTGACCTTCAGCTGACCTTGATCATTGGCAACGGCCCTGATCTTTGACAGCATGAAAAGTATACAACAAATTGTCTAGTAATGATACATATGTACTAAATTAACGATATTTTATTTCCACAGTGTCATCAGTGACAGCATACAATGGCAGTAGTGCAGGATGGCTGGAACAAGTGGGTGTTGGGTACGAGTGTCCTGGGTGTGGGCCTCAGTACAGCACGTCACTACACACTTGCTACTCCCTAACCCCACAGGAACAGTCTACCATGCTCATCCAGCGACAGCATGGTGCAAGTTTTACTTCATTTACAATAGTGCTTAAACTAAGAACTGATACTAGCCATTAGTATCTATGAAACAATTGCTAAAGTGTAGATAGTAAAAAATACAACAGGAACTGTAATGACTGCGTGAAAATATAAAACAAGTATTGTACAGTAGGTGGTAAGAAGCTAGTGTGTTCACACACACACACACACACAAGGTAACAAATGGCCTTCTTAGTGACTTCCTGTGCACTCATTCGCCTCTCCTCCCATTTCCTGGGTAGGTCACACAGTGAAACATTATCCTTAAACAGGTTGCCTCTCATTGTGTCTTCACATTTAATTGTCTCAGGTCCAAAATGACTGATGGCCTTTTAGTTGCAGAGCGCATAAAGCACACTGAACGTTAGGACTCGTTATACAAGGTGGCCAACACTGCATTAGATCACCTACACTTCCCAAAATAAAACAGGTAGCCATTAACAGGCGGGTAGATTGTTAGTACCCTGGGTTAGAACCAGAGACCCAGAGGGCAGGATGAGAGCACTGCACCCACTAGGCTGTTGTACAATATATTACAGTGAACATGCATTCACTATGAAGTAAACTTTACAAAAATAATCAATGCATGCTCCCTCCTATATAAAACAGTAGCGTGTATTGTCCTTCATCTCAAAAGATTAAGAAGAGTGGCCTTGGAAGATAACCGCCTACGGGAGAAGTAAAGGTTGGAGGAGGTAGCGAGGGGGGGGCCTCGGCCGTAAGACGGTCGAGGGCGTGTGGGGAGGGGGAGGTTCACCGTCAGCTCGCGCGCGCCTATTCTCCAGCCGCGCCTGCTCATGAATAACTACTACTGTTTACTCTACTGCCGCGCCACCCTCTTCCTCCACACTATACTTTCACCCTCATCCTCCACTCTACTGTATACCCTTCATGCTACACCCTTTACATAATATCTACACCTTGCCAACTACACCCACTTGACACCACCAAGTATATTTCAATAAACACTGTTTCTGTGGGGTTAATTAGAGAGAGAAAGATGTTTTGGTCCACATCGCTTCAAACACCACCCACACCAGCCACCCCGCCCACGGACCACCATCACTGAAGTTCCTACCCTACAAACATCACCAATAGTGTACAGTATTTGGAGTGGCTTACAAAATCACTATTTGGGACTGGATTAACAAAAGTTTCTATGATATGAATTTTTATAATAACAGTTATAAGACTGTAACTAACTGGTTGTCTTAAACTAACACGCACGTATTCAACACCCAAATATAAACATCAACAATACACATTCTTGAACTTAACTTTATGCGTTTATTTAGCAACTATTAGGAGCATGAATTACGAAATAAAATCACTTGCATGTTTAAACTGTAGATAAAAAGTAATGTGTATTCTTGCAGCTTAGGTGAAATACACCTGATGTAATCGTGTCTCGGCTGGCCTCAAGTCTACGGACATGGTGCGTCTCGTTTCACTTGCCTTCATCATATTCAGGAGCAAGTCCTTACTATGTTGACCCAATAACCTTTCCCTCTGACCTACTAACATCAATATTAGAGGGGCGATTTTGTGTCAAGGTCACTCCCGTACTGAGTATAGAACTTGGTGAAACTTATGACTGGTGGAGGGTGACACTGTACACACACACCTACAGTACAGCGTCGTCGTGTATACAACCACCCCAAACATTTGTGTGTGGGTTTGTGAGAATAGGCGACAGAAAACATGTCCTGACCTGCTCAAATTAAACCTAACTTAACCAAACACCAGAAATGACGTAACAATATTCACGTACCATATATAACCAGACCCAACTAACCTGGCTTATTCTAACCTATCATAACCTAACCTAGCCTAATTTAACCTAACCTAACAAAGTCTCACCTATCCTACCCTGCACCAACCTAACCAATTCTAACGTAACCTAACCAAACCTACCCTAAACTAAACTAACACCAATCAAACATACCGTCATCATATCTGAGGGTTGGCGACCACAGTCCTCCACTCTAAACTTTCTCAGGCTGTTTTTATCAATCCTCTAAGGTTTTGTATCTCTCTGTGGACCCAGATTTTAATTCCATTCATCCATCCCAGTCTCTGCCTCCCTCCTCCCCCCCTCGGCCCTCCTACCCTCAACTTTGCCCATTATTATTTGTTATTATCCCTTCATCCCTAATAATATGGCCAAAGTATCTCGTTTTTCTTTGTTCATTTCAAGCATTTCTCTTTACTTTTTTCTGTCCAAATCTTAGTATTATTCAAAACAAACCTAACCTATTCTAACCTAACCTTACCTATTCTATTCTAACCTAACCTAACCATGTTGACAGCTGGAGGAGGAAGGTGGTAGGTAACAAGGGCAGTGTTGTTGAGGTTGACCTTGACAGTGGAGGCAGCGGACAGCACCTCCCAGCGTTGTCATGACGACCGCCGCCCCCACCACCCTTCACCATGCACCGCCACCCACGCTGCCGCCCAACCACCACCCTCACTCTCTAAGTCTAAAGGATGCACAGCCAGTCCGCCACCCACCCACAACACCACCGCCACCCATATCAACACCATAAATACCATTCACATCGCCCTTAACACCAATACTCTTTAAAAATATGCACCACCACATCTCACTCTGAAAGATGCCTCACCACCACCCACCGCTACCACAACACAACACAGACTGGTAGTAAGAGAGAAAGTCAAGACGCCATATTTTAACGTTAGCCATGTCTTTATCTTTTACTCAACCACTAAACCACAAACTCTCAACACGGTGGCAGAGTGGTTATCATAAATTTACTCAGGTTCGAATCCCCACTGATGAGGTACACTGTGCCGACTTATATACTGTATTAATTCAAGGTTTATTATACTGGCATATACTGCACTGTAGTTCTTGCTGTCATGAACACACACACCGTGAGGTTCTTCACATCAGCACCTACGGCCGAGTTACTGAGCCAAAAGGCCATGTGACCTCACACAGTATGGCAAGAGACCAGCTCGGGCCATCAGCTGCAATCTATAATAATTTGTATGCTCAATTCATATTCCTTCTCCTTTCAGTAATGAAAGCTTTTGTTAAACGACCCACCCATCCCATGTCTTCGAATGTAAAAGTCATTTTTGTCTAATGTATATTTTCAGCCTTCGGGCTAAAGTACTTTCTCAATAAACCGTTAATTATTATTATTATTATTATTATTATTACATAAATAATAATAGTAGTTGTACCTCGTGTGACGAGGATGGCCGGCCCAAGGGCCACCTAGGCGTGAATTTGTTTAAGGTGTAGAAGCTGTCGCCAACGCAACAACTACACCCTAAGTTAACGAGGCGCATGACCCAGTCAAGGAATAGTCCGAGAGGACCAGACAACTTGTCAACTGCACTGGTTAACCATTACCCCGGATCCGCAAATCGATTAACATCAAGGTTCCCAATTACTGCTGGGTAGACAAAGGCAAATGACGTAATGAAACTTGCCCATAGTTTCACCCTGCCCGGGATCGAACCCCGATCCGCTCACTTGCGAGGCGAGCATGCTAACCATTACACCACCTCCACACACACTAAAAGCTATATATACCTTGCTAAGTTTAGACTCGCGAAAGATAATTTATTTACCAATGTTTACCTCCAAAATTAAATATATAAATAATTCATGGATGCCTTATTTATCTAAGCAATTAAGTTTACGCCGAGAGAAGAAACGTTTACACGACCACGTCTTTGAGAAGGTTATTTCAGTACTCTGGAAACGTTCTAACCAACCAACCACCGTATCTACCCCCACCAATTGCCGTATGTACCACCACCAACTACCGTATCTACCACTATCAGCCTACCACGCAATGCTCTCAACATCTTTACCAACTATCGACCACCACCTACTACCATAACCCCCGTCCCCTCCCTCCCGGCGATTACCGAGAACAAGGAGGACAATCGATGGAGAGAGAGAGAGAGAGAGAGAGAGAGAGAGAGAGAGACTAAGTGTGGGCAGCTCCTTAAATTCCATCTTCAAGTATTGACCACACCCTCACTACACCCACACCTCACTTCACCCACATCCTTCATATTCTTTTAATCTGTCTATCTACAAATTCATCGACTCTCTATCTCTCTCAGGTTTTGGAGTGAAGTCTTGTCCCAGAAAGGCCCTAAAAGCGTTAATAATGTTATTGTAAGAGAGACAAGGGTATATGTATGTGCCCTTAACAACTCTTCAATCACCCCTTTCCCGTGATACCCAGTGTAAACAACCTTAATAATAACCATGATCGACGGTCCGGTATGGTTGGCGAGAAGTTAAAATTGGTGGTGGTGGTTGAGTGACCCAGTGCCAGGTGATCGAACTTTCTATCAGGTGTTAAGTGCCGCCCCCAGCTGATGAAGACTCACACTCAAGCCTCACCTACGGGCACAAACCGCCAGCACGTCAGAAAATTACACCTGACCTGACCTAACCTAACTTAACCTAACCTAACACAAAACTATATCTCGGCTTGGTGTAGGGTGCATGTAGCCAAGTGTAGTGTCGGTGGTGTTGTAGACAAAAGGTGTGTCGGAGGTATAACCAACTAGCAGACATTTCTTTGGGTCGACGAGGACGGCGTAGACACCATGACCTAGTCTGGGGCTCGCTCATCGCCACCCAGCGCCACCCCACCCCACCCCACCCCACCCCACCCCGCCCCGCCATCCATCCCCCTGCCTGACCTAACTCCACCCACCCACCAAACACACCAGTCTGTCTTCACCCCAAATATTCACCATCACCACCATTTCTATAACTATTATCACATTCATTCACCATCGCCAATAGTATTGCCCCTCACCATCACTACCCTTACTATTATCACCAGCATCCTCCTCACCATCACTACTACAAATACCACTTCACCATCACCCCCATCTATACCACGACCCCACCACACCACACACACGTCTCACAACCTAATAAAGAGAAAGGTAAGTAGTCGTCCACAACCAAGGTGACACGACACGACGACAGCTCCCTGATGCTCCACGACTCACTGCGAGTGTTATGTGGCCACGACTGCTACTTCTTCAGTTCGGTCTACACTACACTACACCCTCACTGATCGATGTGTTGTTGTGTCACGCGCTTCATCGTATGTGGGCATGCAAGAGAGCCTGAATTGCCTTACCTTCCGAGTTATTGACATCAGTGACGTTGTTTTCGTTCTTTTTGTCACTGTAGGTCATAGATACACACCATAAACAGCTGTAAATTGGTATATAAGCTCGACACGAACAGGCAGGCACAGTATTGTGTAATCACGCAGGCAGACACTATGTGGAATACTTTGAGACAAAACTCGTGGAGATCTTGCCAGAAGAATGCAAGGCTGGTGCAGAGTTCACCCCCATGCAACACACACACACACACACACACACACACACACGTCCTAGACTAAGTTATGCATCACTGTACACTTACATTAGTCTGGAACAGGTATGGAAGGGAAGGAGGAGGAACAAGAGGAGGCTATAACAGGTATAGTACAGGTAAAAAGGGTGGTGGAGGTGGAGGAAGTGTCGAGATAAGCATGACACACAGGATAAGTAGTTATCATGTCCTGCTTGATATACCGGGTGTCCATAAATGATTACCCTGATTAAAACATGAGCATACTGTTTTTAGGAGGATTATTTATGGACACCCCTGTATGTATGGGGGAGGGGGG